TACTGAAAACTGATATTTTGTTAGGCTTTTACTGGTTTTCCACTGGTTTTTGCATCTTTTTTAAAAAACTTGATAAGTTTTTGAGTTCAAAAATATCCTTGAAAGAAAGCTATTTAAAATTCGAGAAATTTAAGTAAAAAGAAAATAACAGTTTAGTTATCATTTCTTAACCAGAAGTAATACTTTTCCTATTAAAAATAGAAATTGGTTGCATGAGTTGCATGAGTTGCATGTCTAAAACAAAATCCAAAAACTTTCATTCGTCAAAGTGTTCGTGATTGTCCGCGAAGAACAAGGCGCTTGAGGATTTCTAAAAAGTGAAGCTCTTTCTGCAGAGCTATGTCATTCATTCGAATCTCGAAGAACAAGAGCTCAAAAAATGAAAAAAAGGAAAAGAGAGAAAAATTTTCAATGGACTCTTTTGAGAGAAGAAAAATAGGCATGAAATGGGTGAAAACTTTTGGGAAGTGAGGGAATGGACGACAAAGAAGATGGGTTCAGCAAAAGATCAAAGTAGCATGCGTCTTATCCAGTTTTTCCTTATTCTTATTACAGTACTCTGGCAGAGTTTCACTGCTTTTCATTTCTATGATATGCCTTTCTAGTGAATTGCCAATCCTACGGATCAGAGGATCAATTTTGACTAACATGGTAAACAGGATCTAGAAAATATAAAGAAATTTAAAGCAAAAATTGATTTATAGTGACGGTAAAGAGTGGCAAAACCGTCGCTGACCGCTTCTATAAAGAAAATGAGCCACTCGTTTTCTGTTGTTCATTTTCACGTGGAAAAATAATGTTTTTCATTTTTGTTGGTCAAAAAAGTAGCCTGATGCGGGAGTGGGACAAATGCGACCTTTTTTCTCACCCGGGACTTTAACTTTAACAAATGCACCCGGGACATTGGCGCACCCGATTTATTAGCGCACCTTTTTTCACGTTTTCAAAAAGCTCCAAAAAGCTAATATTAACCAATTTCTATTCCAAAAGTGATCTTCCTGGGTAATTTTAGCGCATAGAACCCAAATTTTGAAATATCAGAACTTGTGCAACCAAATCTTTCAAGACGAGCAGGTCAAATTACAGAAAATTGTCGATTTTTCCCTATGTATCCCTCCGTCCGTTTGCTTCCACAAGCTCTGATACGTCAAAATTTCGATTCTCTGCACTAAAATTACCCAGGAAAATCACTTTTGGAAAAGAAATTGGTTAATATTAGCTTTTTTAAAACGCAAAAAAAGTCCTAGGTGTGCTAAAAAAGGTGTGGAAATGTCTCGGGTGCGGAAAAAAAGATGAAACGAAACAACAAAACACACCAAGATCAAGCGCAAAAATAAAAGGAAAAACATTCGAAAATTTAATCCTGGAAACAGGCATTTCGGAAATTCGTGGCTGAATTTTTTTCATTTTGTTTGTGCGCTTTCACTTTTCGTATTTTTTAAAGTCCGCTCATTTTATATATTCATGGTGTGTTTTGTTGTTTAGTTTCATCTTTGTATTCCTTGATATAATTTATCATCTTTAGAATGGACTTGCAAACTTTGGTCAACAACTACAACAATGTTGTCGAGGACCACAAGAAGACGGGAGAGTTAGTCGAGCAGAAAGACGAAGCACAGCCACGGCGAGTTTTGTTTTGTTGATTTGATATATTTGTGGTTGCTTTGAAAGCTCTAATGTTAAAGCTTAGCTTAAGATGGTATCGATTCGGTCTTCTATTATTTTAGAGATCTATAGGAGAATAGAAAGCCGAAGCTTGGAGAGTCTGACTTTGCCTGTGTCCAGTCAGGTCTCGAATGTGCGGAGCCAAACCCTAGGAAAATACAGGCGCATAATATAATTTCTAGGAGAACAGAGGGCCGAAGCCATTCAGCATAATCAAAAACCCAGCGGTTTTTGTGCAGGTTTTCGTGGAAAATTATTGGCTCTAGATCAAGTTCCAGACTGCCCCCCCCCGCGTCAATTACTCTAGCGCCTTTTTTATAAACCAAGTTCATATTTTTATTTTAGTCGCCAAAGAAAGTCGGAGACAACATTGCGAAGGCAACGCACGACTGGAAGGGATTGAAGGTCACCTGCAAGCTCACCATCCAGAACAGAAACGCCAAGATCGATGTGGTGCCATCGGCTGCGTCTCTGATCCTCCAGGAACTCAAGGAGCCACCTCGCATCAGAAAGAAGGTCAAAAACATCAAGTACAACGGCGATCTCACCATCGACACCATCATCAAAATCGCGAGGACCATGCGCAGTCGTTCAATGGCAAAGAGGTTTGGAGGGAACGGTGAAGGAGATCCTCGAAACCGTTCAATCGGTCGGCTGCACCATTGATGGACAACACCCACACGACGTCATCGACCGCATCAACAATGGCGACATCGAGATCCCAGCTGTATAGATTCAATTTTTATGTTGTCATGGTTTCGTTGATCGTTTTTGTTTTTCATTGACCTGTTATTATGTTTTTCCTTTGGTTTTCGTCTTAACTTTCATTCTTTAGTCGCGAAGTAATGACACCTCAATTGCGTTTCTCGAAGGATTTTGATTCTTTCACGGTGGAAACGGATCATTTGGACGTGATCTGTGGCAAAAAGACTTTTCGCCTTGCTTACCCGATCAACGGAGAAAGGAAATTCTCAGTAGGAGCTTTGGGCAACACAAAGCTCTTCTTGCCGGAAATGTTGCTGAAGGTCTCTTTTTATTTCATAATTCAATTTCTATATAGAGTAGATTTATTTGATACTTGGATATAATATCATATGAGAGTAATTAGGCTTAAGCTGCAAATCTTTTTCATGACCTAGGTTAAATAAAAATATTTGGGATCTAATCTCATTATAAACTTTTAGTGCTACAATCAAGATGTTCCGCATGGAATACTTGTAAATGTCGAGGCTGGATTTGAAGATGTGCTAACGTTGGGTAGATTTGTCGAGAAACTTCCAAGTGTTGTTGGCTACCAGCAGGTTCAGTTTTAAATTTTTTTACGAGTGAAAGTTCTTAGCTTATGCTTATTTAATTCGTTGAGTTGAGATTTTTAAGTATGGATTTTTACGAGGTTACGAGAATTCAAGAAATCAATTTTAGGTACGTGTTGATGAAGACAATTTATCGGCGATTTATACGTCATGTGGTTCGGAATACGAGGATGAAATTGACGAGGAAATCGATGACGCCAACATGGATCCAAATCTGTTATTCTTATTAATTATCCAAAAAAATAGCCCCTTTCTTTAATATTTTCTTGTTCATCTTTCTACATATTTGTTTCACGTTTCTTCTTATTTTTTTCAGATTAAATCAATCTGGTCTTTGTTGGCATCTAAGAAAAGGTCAGTTTATAGATCTCCTTTTTTTTTATTATTATATTGTCATTAGCCGATTGAAACGAAACATTCCGAGAACCTATAAAGTGCACATTTTTTATAAACGAAACATTCCGAGAACCTATAAAGTGCACATTTTTTATTTCTTCTTTTAGATGAATCGGGATCGTCCAATCTTGATGTTTGTCGAAGACACGAACCACCCTCTCACCTTTTTCTTCCCTGGCGACGGTGCCGCATATTTCGAGATCACCCATACGCCAAGCGACACCCAGTATCGATTTGCCTATATTGCGGGTGTGAATCGCACGTATGAATCCGGAAGACTTCGACCGCCCAGGAAAGAACAGATTCACCTATCTCATGCATAATGTAAGTTGCAGGTCAGGGTTTTCTTCTGATTGTAGTTTTTCTTTAGAATTGAGGAGATCTGATGTTTAAAATTATAGCTTATGATTGTTATACTTTAGAGCCCGCCCAACCCAAACGATGTTCCACATGTGTTTGAGCTGCGAAGACGCGTGGTGGTTCCTGGCCCGTTTGTGGATCTCGCCGAGGTCGATGTGTTCGTGGATTTGGGCGTGGATTCGAATCGAGATGGGAACCGGGCCTTAAGCAGGATAGTTTTTCCTCCTTTAACCAGGTTTTTTAAGTTTCATCATTGTTTTGGTTTAAGTAAAAAGCTGGGTGTGATCTGTTGCTTCAGATCAACTTCTCGGTTATGAGAGCATTAAAATCATTAATGGAAATGGAAAATCATTAATGGAAATAATGTTTTATTATTTTTCAAAAATTTGGTTTTCGTCTGGTCTCAGTTCCATCATTCTTCATTCATCATCGCGAAAATACTATCACAAAAAATAGTTGGCTTGTGTTATAAATTAACGTATTTCAATCAATGTTTCACTTTCCAAATCAATTCTAAACTGTTCACCTGAATAAAAGTTTATTTGTTATCTAGGTCGTCAAAGAATTGAATGAGCTATGAATTTTTTTCCAAACGGTTTCCAAACAAAAACACTAAATAAAGTCCTAAAGTAAACGTGCGAAGGTTGGTGTTAGAGTATCGGTGGAGGTATCTGTGGAGTCGTGGAGACAGTGAAAAGAGCGGCGCATTCATCCAGTCAATCGATTTGGGGCATTCTCGTGGAAAGAACAACAACATCCACTGTGATCCGTATTGCGAGTAATAATGCCTGTAAGTTAGTTTGTACGACGAACTCTTATCTTTGTATACGCCTACTCTTTGTTATACTTTTGGTAGCATTTTTGACTTGGGGTTGATCGTTTTATAGTTTGTAGCCCATTCTTCGGAGAAATGTTTGACCGGCAATTAGACTATTCAGATTGCATGTTATGATGTTACGCCACAGGGCACTTTTCCCTTTCTCCATGACTCCACAGACAAAACATCTCCACCGATACTCCGACACCAACCCTCGCACGTTTACTTTAGGACTTTATTTAGTGTGTTTGTTTGGAAACCGTTTATCGGAACGTACAACCTCGCAATAAAAACACAAAATGAGATACTTAAATTATACCTGTAAACAGTCCAGAATAAATAGAAATAAACACGAGATCAAAAAATACAAAGAAATCATAACAATTGAACAATCATATAATGAAGACCGGAAAATGGTGTCAATTGTCAATTACTGAATGAATGAATCACGAGAATCTTTGAGATGATGTTCTGTGGGAACTTGTGGGCAGGGCAGCTGCAAACATCACGATTGCTTGACCCAATCTAAAGTAAAACTTTAAGATAATCTATCTAAAATTTTCACCTTTGCATACGTTGTTGAACAGGAAATGTGGAGACCGCGAGACAATTCATTACCGCCAAACACACATCGGGAAGCACTGTCGTTACCTAAACATTGAGGTCTTACGAGCAGTTTTACTTTTACCAACCTGTCGAGGAGCTAAATGTTCTTGTGAAGTAAAAACGTGAACTTGCTCCGGAACAGTTGGAATTAGACCAGTTCTCCTGATTATCTAAAAACATCTTTTTAAAGTGCAAAGTAACAAAAATATACCTCTAGAGCGCTTTCATAGTCGGCTTGTTGACATTTAATCAGCAGCTGCAAAGTGCCAAGCAAAATGCATAATGCTTGAATGTGAAGCGGCAGGTGGATCTAAATCAAAAATGTATTCATGATGGTAACATTGTTTACCTCTTACAAGCTTTTCTGCAGCACCAATCAGCTTTTCGCGCAGCTTCTCGTCATTTTGTGTGATTGCTTCAGCGAGTCCTTTGCACATCACAGTGATTGCTCGATCATCTTCACCACACGTGTGCAAAATCTCAATGGCTTGATCCGCGTTTCCCGATAGTTCTGTGTCCTCAGCTACGCGAGTGATCACCGCCTTGGCATCAATGTCGTAACTAAAATTTTTTTTTGTGTATATGGCACTGTTTTTACTTGTCAATCAAGGCCGGAGTTCGCTTTGAGCTTTTAATTTTTTTAATTTCGCGAATCACTTTCCGGACTTCCCCGGTGAGGTAGAGCACTCGACAGTTGATTCGAAGATATCACGTCCTTGTGCAGTCTTTTGATCCTTGAATTTACAGTTTGAAATGTGTAAAATTAATAGCATAAGGCTACCTTGAGAATGTAAAAGTAGTCGAGCGTCTTTTCAATGTCACCCACTTCAAAGGGCTTTGTGTCAGCAACCAAAAGGCGAGCAAGTGAAATCGAAGCATCAACTGATTGATCTGTTGAGTTCACTTATTCCCTTATTTTGCAGATGTTGCTCAAAGTTAAGCAGTATATAAACGTGTTCAAAAGAAAAAGCAAAACAAGCCGAGCACCTCTTGAAAGCCGAGAATGTTCATAATCACCCATGCCATCCTTTTGTTTTCCCTCATTTCGACGAAAGGCTCTACGTGGATAGACACGGCAGAGGGTCATATCATTGAAGAAGACTTCAATGGAAGGTAACTGATAGATATCCCAAGCTTTTATCCAATTTAGTTACATCGAAAAGGAAGTCGGCCAAAATGTGACTCTTCTATGTCACGGAAACGCGTCTCTACTGTAAGTCAAAATTTATCCAGATATAGAAAATTCAGGTCTTAAAATGGTAACAAATGAATTTTAGTCATGTGAAATTTGAGGAACTCAGACCGCTACAGACATTACTTTATCATCAATAATTTTTCTTAGTGATCCCTTTCTGCTATTCATTTTGATAGACTTAAACTTTTTCTATTAGGATGAATATAAAGCAAAAGGAAAATATGAATTTGAAGAAATTTGTGACCCTCAAAGCGGAATGCTCAATGGAAACTGCGGAAATGAGATAAGAGCCTGATAATTTATGTAGAATTAAAATTCAAGTAGCTACGAAAGCATAAAGTATCCTGAAGCGCCCAAAAAATAAACTTTGCTTTAACAAATAATGCATGTAGTTGGGACTTCGATCGTGATAAAAACCAACTTCAACAACGAATCAAAGTGAACGACAGTGTGACGGTAAGTAGCTCCAAATTCAAGCAATAACCTTTTTTTTCTTTAAGACCTTGTCGTTGTTCATTCGAGATCTAAATGTGGTTGACACGGGAAAGTATTCGTGCCAAGAGAGTAACATGTCAATGACGAGATCGCACATTCACATGTTCGTGCGAGGTAAGTGACGTCATAACGTAAGTGAGTTGGACACTGTTGAGAAAAACTTTAGGAAAAAGTGCTTTTGTGGAACGTCCCAACACCGATCCAATTAAACTACTCAAAAATAATTTGAGGATTCCATGTCGAGCGTCAAGATGGATCAAAGGTAAATCCTGTACTCATACAGTTTTCACTGAAGTTAAGGAAATGAAATGAGGCTCTACGTGAACGAGTTGATTGTCGAGAATATTCAGAAATATTAAGGATCCAAGGTAAACAAATGATCCTGAATAACGCACTTGTTTTTGTGCGTCTATTGATAAAAGCAACTCTCGTTTTCCCAGGATTGGGTTCGTTTTGCAGGGAAGCTCGTGGGAAAGTGCCACTCAAGCAAGATGTGAACACAAAAATGAGCAAATCGACTTTCAAATTCAGGTTTACCTTAAATTTTGGCTGTCATTTCTGATTCCATGTAGCTGTTTTAAAAGAATTGTTCAGATGTTGAAACTCGATGTAACATCAGAAGACGGATGGCCTCAAATAGGTACTCTTCTAACAACTGAAAGCTGAGAATTGATCATTCAAACAGGCGATCAAAACTACGCGATAACTTGTGTCTTGTCGAACGTGAACCAGTTCTCACCGGCCATCGATCCCCAAAAGAACACTCTTCAATTTAAACGTTGCCCTCGATGTGGATCGGAACATGTAAGATTGCCCATCTATAAAGGGTGTCACAAAAGTTCCTGGATTGGTTTGCAAATACGTAAAAGTGCCGACTTTAAGTATTTAGAGCTTTTTTCTTAACAAAATACTTTATTGGGACCTTAACGACAAATGTTCGAAATTTTCACCATCAGCTTCAATGCATTTCTTTAGACGCTTTTGGCAGTTCTTAATTAGAGAGGTTGCAAGTTGAAGAGTTGGTTGAGCTCCATGGGCCGGTGCCCGGTCTTGTTGAAGCGTGAATCCGTTTTGCCCAAAATGATTTGCGAAATTTGTAGTAAGTGGCTTTTTTTAAAGGCAAACGTTCGACCTTTGATGAAACGAGAAGACGGCTCATTTGTGCTTTCGTTAGTGCTCCCGAATGTGACTGCAGAAGACGCGGGAGAGTACGAATGCACATGGTGAGAGCTCATGAGCAGTTTTGGAAAGATCACAGCTGACAGTTGCAGAGAATTATCCATCGCCAGTTCAAGATGAAGCTTGACAAAAATTTAGGCACGAGGACATAAACGGTCAATGGGAGATCAGCGGCCAAAGTGCTTATCAGCTCGTGTTTATACGAGATAAGCCACAAATTGAAGTAAGTAATTTGTGCTACCAGGAAAAAATCCGAAAAATTTGTTTAGTTCGAAGCTCACAAACTCCAAATTGCCATTACCGAGGGAGAATGCGTTGAATTTCGAGGTGAGATCTGTTCTTGACGTTGAATTTCGACGTTTTACAGTGACGGTGACGGTTCACAACACACAAAATGCTCTTGAAACGTATCGCTCGTTATGGTCCCGCGTGAGTTGTCTAAAATGGCTTGCAATAGTTAGAAGGGTCCTTGTGGAAACTTATTCAAACAAATCACACATCAAAGGAATATAAATGCATAGGCAAGATTCTCAAGTTTCGCTGAAACGCTAAAAAGCTTCACAAATCGGCTTTTTTTCTCTAGAATCAACTCATCAGAAAAGCCAGCTTTACTCACTCATTCAAAAATGTTCCAGGCTCCGATTGGGTGGTCGAACGACGAAGTATTTCACAGAAAAATTTTCAACGATGAAAACGCAAAGGTACCTATAGTTTTACTAACCAATCATCGGCGCATAAAATTAGATTACCAAGGAAATTGTGAACAATTGGACGTTCGTAGAGTCGCTCGTCATTCCAAAAGCCAAACTAATCGATTCTGGACAGTGAGTCGGAAAGAAATTGAGACCAGCTGATTGAAAATCTCCAGCTACTCCTTGTTTGTGTTTGACGAGAGAGGCGCGCCCAAGTCGACAACATGGGTTCTCAAAGTGCAACGAAGTCTTTATCCATTGGATTGGAAAAAGGGATTTGACTCTAAAATCGTTTTAATCAAATCCATCGTTTTAGGATGGAACTGTTCCGCAAAGCCGAACTTTTCTGATGATCGTTGTCGTCTTGTTTTTTCTTGTCTCTCTATTCGCTATTTGTGCGTTCTTGTGGCTCTGGAAAGGACAAAAGAATAGAACGGATCAGTGCATAAAGTGATACAATATTGAAATATTCTATAATCTCTTCACAGTGAACTACGGGCTCTGCACGAACAGCTGATGGACGGGGCGAAAGCAGCTGAAAGAATTGATGAAGAAGAGACAAACGTGCCGCTCGATCAACGCATCGATCGAATCGCCTACGATTTCAGTCTTGAAATCGATGTGATGAATTTGAAAATCGGACCTTTGGTAACAATTTTACATTTCATTGACGAAAAAAGCCTTTCAGCTCGGACGAGGTGAATTTGGAAAAGTATCAAAGGGATACCTCAAAAGAGCAACTCCCGGTCGACCAAATGAGTTCAAGGATCTTGTTGTCGCTGTTAAGGTCAGTGACCAAATAGTTTTCATATTTACACCGTCTAGGAGCCAAGCATCGGTTTCAACGTTCAACACCAAGAGATGCTGATTGGGGAATTGAAGGTGCTCTCGGCCATTCCACCTCATCCAAACATTTTGTTGCTCATTGGAGCAATCACTAAAAATATGATCAGGTAAAAAATAATACTGAAAACTTCAACAATTGCAATTCTGTTTATTTCAGTGGTCGCCTCTGTGTGGTGGTGGAGTTTTGTGAAAAGGGAAGTCTCAAGGATTTTCTCGTCAACCTCAAATGGAATCCTAGCTTGTATAAGGACGATTTGATAAATGACAATCGATTGCAAGCCGATTTTCTCTATTCGAATGCAAAAGTGCTAATGTAAGTGATTTAAATGAATTGAGAAGCACTCAGCAAAGTTCCCTTCAGCGCCACCACCGATTTACTCGATTTCTCATGGCAAATCGCTACCGGAATGGAGTATTTGAACAAGATTCCAGTATTTTTCTTTAATTTTTATTAAATCTACTTAAAAACAGTGTTTTCACCGAGACTTGTCGGCCAGAAACGTACTGATCACCAAGAATAACTTGTGCCGTATCGCCGATTTTGGACTAGCGAAAAGCAATGAGAAGAGCTATTACAGGTAGCCAATAAACTGAAGTGAAAGAAAACGAACTTAATTGACGAATTGCTTTTAGAAAGGATGACCAAGCCAATGAACTGTTGCCGTTGAAATGGATGAGCCCGGAGACGATTCTGAACGGATACTACTCACAAGCGGTTCGTTTTCTTTCAACCAATATGAAACGTGACAAATTTTAGTCAGATATCTGGTCATACGGTATTTTGCTGTACGAAATCTTCTCTCTCGGAGCTCATCCGTATCCGGGAATGGAGAACCGAGACGTGCTTGATAGAGTGCTTCGCGGGGAGAGGAATCGACGCCCCAAATATGCTCCCGATTTTATGTTGGTTTAGTGGTGGTCTCGGAAATTTATAAGCTCTAAATCAATAGGAGAAAACAATTCACATAACAAAAAGCTAGTGGAAAGCGGTTTTATGACTTTTTACTTGACTCAAATTCTCATCTCAAACCATTTTCAGCTACGAGTTGCTCATGAAATGCTGGCAATTGGATCCCGATCAGCGACCATCTTTCACCGTAACTTTGTGACAATCGATTTTGGAATTTAAATAATAGGATTGCGTCGCTCAATTAAAAGCCTATCTGCACAGTGTGGCCCCAGAATCTCTCGCCAAATCGGAGATCGATCTCGCTCTCGAAAGGAAACGTCTTGAGAAATGTACCGAGTGGAGAGCGAAAGAGAAAGAAGAAAAGGGTTTCGAGAAGTTAACGGTGAGTCTGCATGGAAAATATCTTAAATAAGAAATTGCTCTATTTCAGTCAACTGGTGTCTGCTCGAAGGAAAGGCTTGTCGTTTCATTTAAGAAAATGAATGAATATGCTGAAATCTCTTGAAAAAAATTGTAAAGACTTTCTGTTTCTGCTTTGTTTAAACACTTAATTTTAAGTTTATTTGTAAGTAAATAACGAATTAAGGTTATAAATTTGTTATGCTTTTTGTTTTATCACTCCATTTTTCGTTCATGAATAAATATTTGAGTAATTAGTCTCAGAATGTACAGAGTGCCTCAAAAGTTCATATTTTTTAGAAATTCGCTGCTAGAAACACTTTTAAAATCCAAAATTGATCTTTTTCGAAATAAATTCGGCTAGAAATGTTGAGAAATACTAGTTTTTAGTTCTAAAGTTCTTCTTTCTTTCTGCCAGAAAGGCATTCTCGTGAGGAATATTTATGCTAATGCAAAGACTTACGACACGACTTCGCAACTCAAAAAAGCAATTTTGCAAGATTGGACGTCTATTCCACCACAAACGCTTCAAATCTTAGTGATGAAAAGTCGACTACTCGACGTCACCAAGAAAAAGGGAGCATCTATTGATTATTAATGAACTTTTCATTCGTTTTTCTTTTGTTTATTCTCAAATTTATTGTTATTTTTTATGTGGTCCTATCATTTCGTAAGAGGTGTTAAATAAAGAAAATGTTATAATTTTGTTGCAATTTGTTCAGATAATGTTAAAAATGGTATATGTGCCTATTTTTGTATATATTTCTAGAATTTAAAAGCTATTTCGCGTTATTTCATAGCCAAAAAAAATGTAAAATTTAGGGGTGGTCCTATCATTTTGCAACGCATCTTATTTTATCTCTATTTTGAAAGAAATTCCCTGTTAACTGCATCCAAAACAAAAGCTGAATCCGTTCAATCATCAACTAACCTCAAACATTCAGCATTCGCAAAATTTATGTCAGGGTTCAAAGGTTCCACTTGACTGATATTGAAAGATAGAATTAGAAAAGATATACAGTGGCCCACAAAAGTAATGCCCCATTGCCATCCAACAGTGTGTTTTGTAAGGAAATCTTGCAAAATCGACCTTTCAGAAAAAGAGTAGGGTATTTTTACCGACCCATAAGACTCGACTTTTCAAGAATATAAGATTTATCCGTATACATTACACACACTTTAAAGTATAAAACAAAAACAATAAGCTACTTGAAAATTAGCTCCACAAAAGTAATGCCCCATTTGCAAAGAATTAAAATATATAAACATTTTAAATTCTAAATTTCAATGCGAGCTTTTATATTTAGAGATGGGAGCTTTGTCGTTCTGGTTATCGTTTCATGATTCTCCATGGAGCCTTCGCAATTCATCCAGGCATTCGTCCTGGAGATGACTCGTTTCGAAAAAAAATGAGAAGAAAAATGTGGAAAGTGTAAGAAAAAAGGATATATTTTTGAGTTTTTAGTAAATAGCTCTGCTGAATCATCTAAAATTTATCAAAATGAACTCTTGAGTTTAGAATCGACAAGGCTATATCCGATTTCATTGCTTTCATCGAATCAACCTATCCACACACTTACAGGAAATGCCCCGATTTTGAGATTTCGGAGAATCTTCCCCTGAAAACTACTCAATCTTTACAAAAAAATAAACTTTAAATGACTAAAATTATTTAAAGCAATTTGTATTGTAAGTTTTACTTGAGAAAACTCACCGGAAACTCGTAGGCTTTGGGTCTTCATTCCTCAACACTTTATTAGCTTGGAGAATTTACGCCACAGCCACCGAAGAGCCATTGTGACGATAAGGCCAACCGGGATGAGCCTGGAAAGTTAATAGCTGGTAAAAAACTTTAAACAATACTATTTTGGAAACTCACTTCAGAAAACCTATCCAGTTATTGGAAAAGAAGATCCAAAATGCTGAATTAGTGATTTGTTCAGTTGATGTTATGGTTGTAGTTGAGCTCTCGGGGATATACATCGGGATATACACTAATTAGAATATTCAACACCGTCAAAAAGTAATAGTCTAGAAGTCAATTTAGCAGTGAGACAGAAGTTCAGAGGAAAAATCATGATTTAAAAACTAATCTCAACAACTTCTATTTTATGCTTATTGAAAGACTATTTTTTGAAATCTTTTCCCGCTTAAAATCGTTAGTGGCAGGCTTAATGTGGCTTATATTAAAAAAGAGCTGATGAAGTGAAGACAATCAACGATCTAGGATATTATTGAATTTTCAAAAAGCAAAGCCTCACAGCCGCATAGCGGGGTCGAACCCCTGACCCTTAGATTAAAAATCTAATGCTCCGGCTAAGGCTCCGAAGCTTCATTTGCATTAAATTGGTATCAAGGGGCTAGGAGAGTCAAAGAACTGGTCCATTTTGAAACATCAATATTCACAAATTCATTGAACTTTTGCCTCGTGTCGATGAGAAGGAAAAAAGATTGATGAATTATCAACAACATTTGAAAAGTTGGTGATAGAAAAAGGGGAGGTGGTGATAGATGAGATGTTGGTCCTAATGAAAACACAAGTGATTCACTTATTTGAGCAATCCAGAAAGCAAAAAAATGTTTTGCTCAGTAATAAAAACCGAAAAGGACCCAAACGAGGATTGTTCTCTTGCTCAACTAAAGCCCTCATTTTGCAGATGTTGCTCAAAGTTAAGCAGTATATAAACGTGTTCAAAAGAAAAAGCAAAACAAGCCGAGCACCTCTTGAAAGCCGAGAATGTTCATAATCACCCATGCCATCCTTTTGTTTTCCCTCATTTCGACGAAAGGCTCTACGTGGATAGACACGGCAGAGGGTGATATCATTGAAGAAGACTTCAATGGAAGGTAACTGATAGATATCCCAAGCTTTTATCCAATTTAGTTACATCGAAAAGGAAGTCGGCCAAAATGTGACTCTTCTATGTCACGGAAACGCGTCTCTGCTGTAAGTCAAAATTTATCCAGATATAGAAAATTCAGGTCTTAAAATAGTAACAAATAAATTTGAGTCATGTGAAATTTGAGGAGCTCAGGCCGCTACAGACATTACTTTATCATCAATAATTCTTTTTAAGCTCTTTCTGCTATCCATTTTGATAGACTTAATCTTTTTCTATTAGGATGAATATAAAGCAAAAGGAAAATATGAATTTGAAGAAATTTGTGACCCTTAAAGCGGAATGCTCAATGGAAACTGCGGAAATGAGATAAGAGCCTGATAATTTATGTAGAATTAAAATTCAAGTAGCTACGAAAGCATAAAGTATCCTGAAGCGCCCAAAAAATAAACTTTGCTTTTGACAAATAATGCATGTAGTTGGGACTTCGATCGTGATAAAAACCAACTTCAACGACGAATCAAAGTGAAAGACAGCGTGACGGTAAGTAGCTCCAAATTTAAGCAATAACTTTTTCTTCTTTAAGACCTCGTCGTTGTTCATTCGAGATCTAAATGTGGTTGACACGGGAAAGTATTCGTGCCAAGAGAGTAACATGTCAATGACGAGATCGCACATTCACATGTTCGTGCGAGGTAAGTGACGTCATAACTTAAGTGAGTTGGACACTGTTGAGAAAAACTTTAGGAAAAAGTGCTTTTGTGGAACGTCCCAACACCGATCCAATTAAACTACTCAAAAATAATTTGAGGATTCCATGTCGAGCGTCTAGATGGATCAAAGGTAAATCCTGTACTCATACAGTATTCACTGAAGTTCAGGAGAGGAAATGAGGCTCTACGTGAACGAGTTGATTGTCGAGAATATTCAGAAATATTATGATCCAAGGTAAACAAATGATCCTGAATAACGCACTTTTTGTTGTGCGTCTATTGATAAAAGCAAGTCTCGTTTTCCCAGGATTGGGTTCGTCTTGCAGGGAAGCTCGTGGGAAAATGCCACTCAAGCAAGATGTGAACACAAAAATGAGCAAATCGACTTTCAAATTCAGGTTTACCTTGAATTTTGGCTGTCATTTCTGATTCCATGTACAGTACTGTACAATGAAGTATCATATTTGAAAAAACACTTTCGCACTTTCGTGCGTCTGTAACTCCCTTGTCTCTGAGTTTAAACTATTAGTGTTATACATTTTCTAAAGCTCTTTTCAAGGGCTACACAATGGTAATATTAATATTTAGAAATACGGTAAAGAGAAGGGAGTTACAGACGCGCGAAAGTGCGAAAGTGTTTGTTTTTTCAAATATGATATTTCATTGTCCAGTAGTGTAGCTGTTTTAAAAGAATTGTTCAGATGTTGAAACTCGACGTAAAATCAGAAGACGGATGGCCTCAAATAGGTACTCTTCTAACAACTGAAAGCTGAGAATTGATCATTCAAACAGGCGATCAAAACTACACGATAACTTGTATCTTGTCGAACGTGAACCAGTTTTCACCGGCCATCGATCCCCAAACGAACACTCTTCAATTTCAACGATGCCCTCGATGTGGATCGGAACACGTAAGATTGCCCATCTACAGTGGCGGACAATTAAATAGAACCGGTGCTCCATTTGCACAAAGACCACGAATTTTCTATTATTGCACATCCACTCGAAAAGACATCAACAGCTATTTTTTTGATTTTGTCTTAGCTTTCGATTGGCACCGCTCTTAGCTGAAAGTTTGGTTTGCAAATACGTAAAAGTGCCGACTTTCAGTATTTAGAGCTCTTTTCTTAACAAAATACTTTATTGAGACCTTAACAACAAATAAATTACAACAAATGTTCGATATTTTTACCATCAGCTTCAATGCATTTCTTTAGACGCTTTTGGAAGTTCTTAATTAGAGGGTTTTCCTCTCAAGAAACAGTGCAAAATAAAAACGAGCATTTAAAATAAACTGAATATATCACAAATTATAGAAAATCTTCAAGATATTCAGGTCATTTCGACCTAACCCGTTTCCTATTTCACACTATTTCTTGAGAGGAACACAATCTATTCTTAATGATGGTCGCACATTGTTGAACGGTGATACACTCCCAGGCTCGTTTCAACCCTGGATTCAGATCGGGGCTGTTCGAGGGCCAAATGTCTTTACCCCAGTAGCCTGGAAAGAACTGGTTGCAAAGTTGAAGAGTTGGTTGAGCTCCATGGGCCCGTGCCCGGTCTTGTTGAAGCGTGAATCCGTTTTGCCCAAAATGATTTCCGAAATTTGTAGTAAGTGGCTTCTTTAAAGGCAAACGTTCGACCTTTGATGAAACGAGAAGACGGCTCATTCGTGCGTTCGTTAGTGCTCCCGAATGTGACTGCAGAAGACGCGGGAGAGTACGAATGCACATGGTGAGAGCTCATGAGCAGTTTTGGAAAGATCACAGCTGACAGTTGCAGAGAATTATCCATCGCCAGTTCAAGATGAAGCTTGACAAAAATTTAGGCACGAGGACATAAACGGTCAATGGGAGATCAGCGGCCAAAGTGCTTATCAGCTCGTGTTTATACGAGATAAGCCACAAATTGAAGTCAGTGATCTGTGCTACCAGGAAAAAATCCTTAATTTGTTTAGTTCGAAGCTCACAAACCAATTGCCATTACCGAGGGAGAACGCGTTGAATTTCGAGGTGAGATCTGTTCTTGGCGTTGAATTTCGAGGTTTTACAGTGACGGTGACGGTTCACAACACACAAAATGCTCTAGAAACGTATCGCTCGTTATGGTCCCGGGTGAGTTGTCTAAAATAGCTTGCAATAGTTAGAAGGGTCCTTGTGGAAACTTATTCAAACAAATCACACATCAAAGGAATTTAAATGCATAGGCAAGACTCTCAAGTTTCGCTGAAACGCTAAAAAGCTTCACAAATTGGCTTTTTTTCCTAGAATCAACTCATCAGAAAAGCCAGCTTTACTCACTCATTCAAAAATGTTCCAGGCTCCGATTGGGCGGTCGAACGACGAAGTATTTCACAGACAAATTTTCAACGATGAAAACGCAAAGGTATCTATAATTTTACCAACCAATCATCGCCGCATAAAATTAGATTACCAAGGAAATTGTGAACAATTGGACGTTCGTCGAGTCGCTCGTCATTCCAAAGGCCAAACTAAACGATTCTGGACAGTGAGTCGGAAAGAAATTGAGACCAGCTGATTGAAAATCTCCAGCTACCGCTTGTTTGTGTCTGACGAGAGAGGCAAACCGAAGTCGACATCATGGGTTCTCAAAGTGCAACGAAGGCTTTATCCATTGGATTGGCAAAAGGGATTTGACTCTAAAATTCTTCTAATCAAATCCATCGTTTTAGGATGGAACTGTTCCGCAAAGCCGAACCTTTCTGATGGTCGTTGTCGTCTCGTTTTTTCTTATCTCTCTATTCGCTATTTGTGCGTTCTTGTGGCTCTGGAAACGACAAAAGAAAGGATCATGGGAGATATTTTCAAGACAAGCGCCAAAAATTTCTCGCTAAATCGGAGATCGATCGATCAAAAATGAATGAATATGCTGAAATCTCTTGAAAGAAATTGTAAAGACTTCCTGTTTCTGCTTTGTTTAAACGCTTAATTTTAAGTTTATTTGTAAGTAAATAACAAATTAAGGTTATCAATTTGTTTTGCTTTTTGTTTTATCACTCCATTTTCGTTGATGAATAAATATTTGAGCAATTAGCCTCAGAATATACAGAGTGAGTAGAAATGTTGAGAAATACTAGCTTTTATAAAAGTTCTTTCTTCTTTCTGCCAGAAAGGAAGAGGTTCAGGGAAGAGACATGAAACCCGAGAAACGGGAAGGCTAAGTTGCTCACCACTCTTTCCCCTTCACAGATTCCAAAAGGGAAGCATTTGATACCGGATGGGTTTACTGGGTCGCGAGCGATTACACACACAAAGAACACCCCGTCAATCATATTTTGTCGTCGTCGTTTGCCCAGTGTAATTCCGTTCAAAAGAGGCAATTTGCCCTTGGTTTTATGATCTAAATCGCAAAGAATAAATAGAAAATGAGTCTGCCTCGTAAGGATGTAGTGGTATGATAATGGTGGTATGCAAAATGAGTTATAAAATCCGAAATGGGGCGTAAGAGTGACAGGTTTCAAAATTTCTTGCATTTGATTTTCTGTTTTGTCTTTTTTTCAAATTCCTTATCACTCAGGAACCTGTTTGAGACTTTTTCTCAGCGAAAAATGGCCTTTTACTTTCTAATACTTGATTTATCTAATTCTGATCATTTTTATTATAAATAAAACTTGAAAAAACAAAGAACAACAAAGAGATTTTGCAAAAATTCCAATATTTCACGGTTTCCCAATATCTGGAATCGCCTCTTCGATGAATTCAATCCCGCCGAAGTGATCTTGCTGTAAAGTTGATTGGATTTAAGTTATTTAGCTGAATATTTTCTTTTTTTACCTAATCCTTTCCCAACCTCATAACCATACAAAATGTCGGGTCCTCCATTTTTCCCAGCAACGATTCGTCGCTCATTTTTTCTCACTTTCCTTTTCAATTTCTTTTGACTATTCTCAATCTTTGATTTTTCTCCAATTTTTGTTAAATCAATTCCCCAAATTTTCTCCTCTTCAGCTTCACTTTTCAGTCGTTTTTTCTCCAAAACGAGACCCCGTTTCGAGTTGAGTTCTCGAATCTGAAATGTTTTTACACTTAAATACTAGCAATTCCTTTTCTTTTCCTTTTCTTACTTACCTTTGCTTTTCTTAAAGCCACCATAGCATTAAGATAAGTCTGCAAAGTTTGTTTCCGAGAAATCGGTCGGTTTTGGTGGATGGATTCAGTGGCGTTTGAGTCGTGAGAAGGGAGTGGCTAAAGGTTTGAGATTTCTGAATATTCAAATGTCAAATCTCAATTGAAAATCAGTTTATCAGAATATATGAACCTGTTTCCAAGGTTTTCCAATCTCAAAATCAGGGCATTTCCTGTAAGTTTGTGGATAGGTTGATTCGATGAAAGCAATGAAATCAGATATAGCCTTGTCGATTCTAAACTCAAGAGTTCATTTTGATAAAGTTTAGATGATTTAACATAATTATTCGCTAAAAATCAAAAATATAGCTTTTTTTCTTACACTTTCCACATTTTTCTTCTCATTTTTTTTCGAAACGAGTCATCTCCAGGACGAATGCCTGGATGAATTGCGAAGGCTCCATGGAGAATCATGAAACGATAACCAGAACGACAAAGCTCCCATCTCTAAATATAAAAGCTGGCATTGAAATTTCGAATTGAAAATGTTTATCTATTAGTTTTCATTTGTTTTTCTAATCACTTGATTTAGATTGTCAGCCTGCATATAAGGAAAGCGCTCGTCGTGAAATGGAAGTGAGTTGAGTGAAACGAATTGGGGATCCCATTCCGAGTGAAGATACCTGGAAAATGGAAAAGATATTTGATCTAAATAGATACTATTAGGGTGTCCGTCGTCTGATTTTTCTTTTGTTTTAAACCTTGTCGACTCGGGAACTTGCGACGATGTTTGCTGTAGGCCATACAACCATTGCGGACCATTTACATCGTTTGGGTAAAGCGAATCTCGTCGGAAAATGGGTATCCCATCAACTTAGTGACGCTAATAAAGCTACTCGAGTGACTATGGCCGGTATTCTTCTTCGTCAATCAAAAAAAATCGAGAAATTTTGGGACACTATTGGGACGGTCTATGAAAAATGGATTTACTACGATAGCCCATCGCGAAAGCGGCAGTGGTTCAGTCCAGGAGAACAGCCAAAAAACGATGCCACAACGTGATCCACATGGAAGAAAGGCCATGTTATCTGCTTGGTGGAATTCCTGGCCGATAAACACTTGAAGGACCACGACGAAGTCCGAATTTGGGTAGGCCAATACTTTGAAAGAAAAATGGAGAAAGAATATCTTTTGAATTCAACGGAGAATATCTTTTGGATTCCAGCGCATTGTTTTCTTTTTGTGGAGATAAATTTTTTTTACATTAAAAGGGTATTTTCATTCCGGATAACCTAATAGATATAATCAAATTTAATAAATATTAGATATAAAAATGCTAAAAGTACTGGTATTTATGGTAAAGCCTTTGTTTTTCCCTAACCCACCCCGAATCCCCAATCCCGACATCGTTCTCGTTGTGCAGCCATTGATCAAGATCTAAAAGTTAATTGAAATTTGATAAAGTACTATGATTTAATTTATATTATATATTTTATATCAAAATATTTATAGTTTTACATCTCAACTATACCTCTCAAGAAGTGAGCCATCGGATTTGCGTCTTTCATAAAGCTCTGTGCCGTTCCATTCAAAATCGCATCTCTCAACTCGTTTCTTGTATTTGGAATGTGATTCCTGAAAGCTTATTAGTTAAGATGTTAATCTAATATAAGTATATAGAGTTTTAAGGGCTTAAATAAGTCATAAATCTTTACTTGTCATTGGGTAAACCTTCAAAGCTCGGATAAACGAACAAAGCTCGACGCAAATTGACCGAAACTCTAAATTTTCAGTTAAATCATGAAAACTCAAATCTTTAATTATTAACCAATTTAAAGTTTTGAAGTTTTAGGTTTTTAAAATCAAACCTAGTACTCCGAATCGTCTCCAATATGTTCTCGGAAAAATTCTTTGAATATCGAAAATGGGAATCAGCCAAAGTGGTCAATGAAAACTTTGGGATAAACTAAAATCTGGGATTATTTTAGTGAAAATTGAAATCTTTACCATTCTTGCAATATTTCTCATAACATTAATCGGGTATAAATCTTCTTCACCCATCGATGGCTGTTCTTGGAGATCGAGAATCGATTTCAGCTCTTCGGGAAGGACTTTCAATCTTTCAAGGCGATAATCGGCACAACTACATAAATTTTTGATTGCTAGCCTTGATATAGCTCTTTTAGTATAAAGAAGATTACTTTTCAAACAGATTCTGCACATTTTTAATACTCAAATTTCTCAAATCACTCACCGAAACCCATTCTCGTCATTCCATTGCTCGAAAACTTGATGAACGGTGACATTAGTGATCGAATGCTGTTGAAAGAAACGAATTAACTGAAAATAACATAATTTTTTTAATTTTTGGTTAAACGGGCTTTTTCTCAAAATTCTAATGGTTTATCAAACAGTGCCAATCGAAAGTGATTAGGAAATCGATTGGCAAACAATCGATTCCAATCGATTTCCCGACGCGAAAACCCCGGGTACAAGTTTTAGCTTCCAATCTCTGATGTATCACAAGTACAGAACAAAAGAAAAAACCCTGTGTAAAGTGATTACCGGGATGTTCTTTGTGCGCTCGCGCACTCTCTGGTAAACTTCTCATGATTGGCTAGTCCAATCATGCTTTATTTGGTATCATTTGAAAACCTGTAGTGTCCTGAAAAACCTAAAGCCTATGTTTTCTTTTCAATTTTCTTACAATGTTCTTGTTAGTTTTACCGATAATTCAGCCATTAGCTGAAACGGTGTCATCGGTTGTGGTGCTGTACTTTCTTCTGGCGCATCAACGAACAATGAAAGCGACACACAACCCTTCCAAGATTTCAGCTAAACCATATTCTAGCAAAGTCATGACCGTTTTCCCACTTGAGCCACCATATTGTGATCGAAATTGTCGAGAGTCGAGTGTAAACCCATTGTGAGACCGATTGAGTGATTGCATGGATGAGTGATGAGTTTGGGGAGGACACAGAAGCGCTCATTATACTGCAGTAGTCTGAAAAGATTGTTAATACATTGAAATCACAAATATCACTAAATAAAAGCTTCAAATGAGGATAAATTTCGAAACTTCTTATGAGGATAAGCTTCAATACCAACAGTAAAAGTTGTTGCAATAGAATTTTTAGGTTAAATTAAAACTTAGACTATATTTTGATATACTTTTCACTTAAAACTTATAAAATCAAACTTGCCACCTAATCACCGCCGTTTTTCTTTTCCCATGCCTTTCACAACAATCACAATTCAACATCCGTTTTTGCAATAAAATCCAATTCAAAAAAATCAAGATTAATATCATCCAAATGTATCGTTCATGATTCGATAAATGAAATATTGAAAGCATAGTTTTTTTCTTCATGTTTTCAGAAAAAAGACTATCCAAGGTCTAAAGAAATCTGCAGAATGGACAAAGGGTGCATGGCAGCCACAATGAATCATTCAGCCAGCAGCTATGTTTTTGTGTGTTCTTCGAAAGAAAGGTGATCAAAAATTGAAAACTCTTGGATTTATGAATCAAAATTATGGCTGCTGCGTATATCAAGGTTAGTTTATAACCAATGCATATTAAATATTAACAATATCATTTAGGGATGTTGTGATATCAGTTCTGACGTTGAAGATGGCTGTCTCGGTGATGAATGTCCTGTTTGGCAATCATGGTAATCTACACGTGCTTCCGAAGTGGTGATCTGGCTGCTGCAAGTGATGCTTTAGAAGTATTGTTTAATATGTTAGTACGCTCAATCGCTTGTCGATTTGAGAAAGTTGCGACTAATCAACGAACGAATGTACTTTACAAGGCTCTTGTGCATTTGAAGAGCAATTCCAAGTATGAATAATTGGTTTTGCGTTTGATGCATCAATGTTTAGATTGACGAAAGAACTCAAAGACAAGCTAAAGGTCTAATGGGGACACGAGCAGCATTCGGTCAGGGATCTCTTCCGACGGTGAGTTAAAAGCCATTCAAAAAAGAAGATATTGAAAATTTAGATCGATGTACTGTGCTTTACTTGGTGTCGAAGCGATGAAAAATTGGTTATGGTTCAAAGTACAATTTATTTTACAGGACTTCTTTCAATTAGGCTTTAGTTGATTCCGCTTCGTTTGGATCCAGCGATGACCGAAGCTTTGTACACGGATCTTCAAAAAAGCTTTAGCTTTATGCCCGAATTTTTTTTAGGAGAAGCTCATTTTATGGCCGATGGAATGAACGAAGCACCACTCTACTTTTCAGCTCTTTGTTTGAGTGGAAAATTTGAACGCCCGATTGATTTGCTTGTTCAGGTATATGTCGTTTCAATAATCATGACTTTGATTTTTTAGATAATTGTTGCGTGATGATGTTCACATGGCAATCTTGGCTCACGAGAATAATTTGCTGCGACTGACCGACGCTATAACAGATGTGCATAACATCAAGCTTTGTTCGTGGATTTCTCTATATCAAAATTGTTTTTGTTTTAGTGAACTCAACAGATCAATCAGTTGATGCTTCGATTTCACTTGCTCGCCTTTTGGTTGCTGACACAAAGCCCTTTGAAGTGGGTGACATTGAAAAGACGCTCGACTACTTTTACATTCTCAAGGTAGCCTTAGTGCTATTAATTTTACACATTTCAAACTGTAAATTCAAGGATCAAAAGACTGCACAAGGACGTGATATCTTCGAATCAACTGTCGAGTGCTCTACCTCACCGGGGAAGTCCGGAAAGTGATTCGCGAAATTAAAAAAATTAAAAGCTCAAAGCGAACTCCGGCCTTGATTGACAAGTAAAAACAGTGCCATATACACAAAAAAATTTTTTAGTTACGACATTGATGCCAAGGCGGTGATCACTCGCGTAGCTGAGGACACAGAACTATCGGGAAACGCGGATCAAGCCATTGAGATTTTGCACACGTGTGGTGAAGATGATCGAGCAATCACTGTGATGTGCAAAGGACTCGCTGAAGCAATCACACAAAATGACGAGAAGCTGCGCGAAAAGCTGATTGGTGCTGCAGAAAAGCTTGTAAGAGGTAAACAATGTTACCATCTTGAATACATTTTCGATTTAGATGCACCTGCCGCTTCACATGAACGGATTCAAGCATTATGCGTTTTGCTTGACACTTTGCAGCTGCTGATTAAATGTCAACAAGCCGACTATGAAAGCGCTCTAGAGGTATATTTTTGTTACTTTGCACTTTAAAAAGATGTTTTTAGATAATCAGGAGAACTGGTCTAATTCCAACTGTTCCGGAGCAAGTTCACGTTTTTACTTCACAAGAACATTTAGCTCCTCGACAGGTTGGTAAAAGTAAAACTGCTCGTAAGACCTCAATGTTTAGGTAACGACAGTGCTTCCCGATGTGTGTTTGGCGGTAATGAATTGTCTCGCGGTCTCCACATTTCCTGTTCAACAACGTATGCAAAGGTGAAAATTTTAGATAGATTATCTTAAAGTTTTACTTTAGATTGGGTCAAGCAATCGTGATGTTTGCAGCTGCCCTGCCCACAAGTTCCCACAGAACATCATCTCAAAGATTCTCGTGATTCATTCATTCAGTAATTGACAATTGACACCATTTTCCGGTCTTCATTATATGATTGTTCAATTGTTATGATTTCTTTGTATTTTTTGATCTCGTGTTTATTTCTATTTATTCTGGACTGTTTACAGGTATAATTTAAGTATTTTGTGTTTTTATTGCGAGGTTGTACGTTCCGATAAACGGTTTCCAAACAAAAACACTAAATAAAGTCCTAAAGTAAACGTGCGAGGGTTGGTGTCGGAGTATCGGTGTAGATGTTTTGTCTGTGGACTCATGGAGAAAGGGAAAAGTGCCCTGTGGCGTAACATCATAACATGCAATCTGAATAGTCTAATTGCCGGTCAAACATTTCTCCGAAGAATGGGCTACAAACTATAAAACGATCAACCCCAAGTCAAAAATGCTACCAAAAGTATAACAAAGAGTAGGCGTATTCAAAGATAAGAGTTCGTCGTACAAACTAACTTACAGGCATTATTACTCGCAATACGGATCACAGTGGATGTTGTTGTTCTTTCCACGAGAATGCCCCAAATCGATTGACTGGATGAATGCGCCGCTCTTTTCACTGTCTCCACGACTCAACAGATACCTCCGCCGATACTCTAACACCAACCTTCGCACGTTTACTTTAGGACTTTATTTAGTGTTTTTGTTTGGAAAGCGTTTGGAAAAAAAATTCATAGCTCATTCAATTCTTTGACGGCCTAGATAACGAATAAACTTTATTCAGGTGAACAGTTTAGAATTGATTTGGAAAGAGAAACATTGATTGAAATACGTTAATTTATAACACAAGCCAACTATTTTTTGTGATAGTATTTTTCTGCATGATGATGAATGAAGAATGATGGAACTGAGACCATGACGAAAACCAAATTTTTTGTAAAAATTAATAAAATCATTTTATTTCCATTAATGATTTTCCATTTCCATTAATGATTTTAATGCTCTCATAACCGAGAAGTTGATCTGAAGCTAACAGATCACACTCCAGCTTTTTTACTTAAACCAAAATCAAATGATGAAACTTAAAAAAACCTTGGTTAAATGGAGGAAAAACTATCCTGCTTAAGGCCCGCGTTCCCATCTCGATTCGAATCCACGCCCAAATCCACGAACACATCGACCTCGGCGAGATCCACAAACGGGCCAGGAGGAACCACCACGCGTCTTCGCAGCTCAAACACATGTGGAACATCGTTTGGGTTGGGCGGGCTCTAAAGTATAACAATCATAAGCTATATTTTTAAACATCAGATCCCCTCAATTCTATAGAAAAACTACAATCAGAAGAAAACCTGACCTGCAACATTACATTATGCATGAGATAAGTGAATCTTCCCCTTGGGCGGCCGAAGTCTTTGGAGCCAGATTCATACGTGCGATTCACACCCGCCATATAGGCAAATCGATAGTGGGTGTCGCTTGAAGTGATCTCGAAATATCCGGCACTGCGACCAGGGAAGAAAAAGATGAGAGGGCGGTTCGTGTATGTTGTGTTCTCAAACATCAAGATTGGACGATCCCGATTCATCTAAAAGAAGAAATAAAAAATGTGCACTTTATAGGTTCTCGGAATGTTTCGTTTCAATCGGCTAATGACAATATAATAATTAAAAAAAGGAGATCTATAAACTGACCTTTTTAATTAATAAGAATAACAGGTTTGGATCCATGTTGGCGTCATCGATTTCCTCGTCAATTTCATCGTATTCCAAACCACATGACGTATTCGCCGATAAATTGTCTTCATCAACACGTACCTAAAATTGATTTCTTGAATTCTCGTAACCTCGTAAAAATTCATACTTAAAATCTCAACTCAACGAATTAAATAAGCACAAGCTAAGAACTTTCACTCGTAAAAAAATTTAAAACTGAACCTGCTGATAGCCAGCAACACTTGAAAGTTTCTCGACAAATCGACCGAACATCAGCACATCTTCAAATCCAGCCTCGAAATTTACAAGTATTCCATGCGAAATCTCGTATCTCGATTGTAGCACTAAAAGTTTATAACGAGATGTTTTCTCAAATATCTTTATTTAACCTAGATCATGAAAAAGATTTGCAGCATAAGCATAATTACTCTAGTATGATATTATATCCCAGTATCAAATAAATTATCTACTCTATATAGAATTTGAATTATGAAATAATGAAATAAAAAGAGACCTCCAGCAACATTTCCGGCAAGAAGAGCTTCGTGTTGCCCAAAGCTCCGACTGAGAATTTCCTTTCTCCGTTGATCGGGTAAGCAAGGCGAAAAGTCTTTTTGTCACAGACCACGTCCAAATGAGCCGGTTCCACCATGAAAGAATCAAAATCCTTTGAGAAACGCAATTGAGGTGTCATTACGTCGCAACTAAAGAATGAAAGTTAAGACGAAAACCAAAGAAAAAACATAATAACAGGTCAATGAAAAACAAATACGATCAACGAAACCATGACAACATAAAAATTGAATCTATACAGCTGGGATCTCGATGTCGCCATTGTTGATGCGGTCGATGACGTCGTGTGGGTGTTGCCCATCAATGGTGCAGCCAACCGATTGAGCGGTTTCGAGGATCTCCTTCACCGTTCCCTCCAACCTCTTTGCCATTGAACGACTGCGCATGGTCCTCGCGATTTTGATGATGGTGTCGATGGTGAGATCGCCGTTGTGCTTGATGTTTTTGACCTTCTTTCTGTCGCGAGGTGGCTCCTTGAGCTCCTTGATGATGAGAGACGCAGCCGATGGCACCACATCGACTCTTGGCGTTTCTGTTCTGGATGGTGAGCTTGCAGGTGACCTTCAATCCCTTCCAGTCGTGCGTTGCCTTCGCAGGGGGGGCCCAATGCTGGGGCCGCATTTGTTAATGAACGAGAAGGGTTGGCTTGAGCCCTTGGAGGTCGGTTCTGTGCTTGTTGCTGTTTCGCTGGAACGTTTGATGGCTTCTTGTCATCACCCTTTGAGCACAAGGATTTGTGATGTGGCTTGTTGCATGAGCGACATCCCTTTGATCGGCACTTGTTCAATCCATGTCCACCCCGTAGACAGTTGTAGCACTGTTGAAACCCTCTCGCCTTTGCCCAACGCTCTTGTACCGATAAGTGACACTCCGTCGACCAGTGAGTGTCTTGAGTTTGGCAAAAGCCGCAAGATCTTCGCCTCACATCGGGCACCTTTTGTGGAACAGATTCGAATGAGTTCTGTTTACCACCACCTTTTTGTTGTTGATGTTGCCCGTGAGACTTTGCGAAGTACTGGACAACTGGCATGGTTGTAACGCTCTCAGTGGAAACCCCCTGAAAGTGCAGTGAATCTCTCTCGGCTCCGGCTCGCATAATTTTTCCAATCAACTCTCTCAACGCATCCAGATCGCATTTGTGATCTCGATTCTCAAGTAATTTGAGTAAAGTTTGAATATTGGCTGTGTACTTTGTTAATACTTTAGGTTTTCCATTTATTCATTTGTACAAAAAGTAGTTTGAGACTGTAGAGAAAAACAAAGCTAATACAATACAACAAAGCAAAAACAAACAATACAGAGATCTTCGAGTTATGCAAAATTACAGAAAAAGTAACAAAACGAGTTTAGAAACACAACAAATACCAATCTAACAATATGAGCAAGAATAAATAAACTTTTGAACTCTTTGGAAACAAGATTTGAATCGATTGTTTCCCATTTCAGACCTCGATTGTCTCGTTGATCTGAAACGAGTTTAAAAATGAATAGACAATTGACAAAGCTAAGATTACCGTAACTTTATTCATTTGAATACATTTTTCCTTATGACTTACCGGTTCATAGTTCGGGTTATCTCCTTGAAAACCCTCATGATCCATCAGGGAACCAGTTTCACTTTCCACAATTTGCTCCATCTCCAATTTGCGATCTCTGAAAGGGAAAATTTCCTTGATTATCGGTAAATTTAGTGTTAAATAGAAATCAAGCTAGAAATCAAGCAAGAATATATTCTATTTGTAGCTGTTTTTACCATAATCCGTTTTTTATTCTGCGTTTAACTTTGACCAAGTCTAGAAAACCATTTTTGGTGTACGGAACTATTTTGAACTACGAATCAATCAAACGAGCTTGGAATGGAATTAAAATTACTATAAAATTTTGCTTTAACTTTAACGCTAAACTTTTTAACCGTTACCTCACAAATCTGTAGTAGTTGAAGTGGATCTTGATTGTCCAGATGGCGCTGAGCAAAACGAGAAAAGGAATGACAAGCAAGTCTCAAATTGAATATGAATATTTGATTTACAACATTAGTTTATAAAACTCACATAAAACCTCCCATTTGCTAGTCACATTTATCTTCAAATTTTCTCTGATCCAATCAAGGACTTGTTGAACGTCTCTGTAGGCGAAATTTCTTAAATTCAAAAGTTTTCGTAGGGAATTTTATAGGAACGAACTCCATAATACGGTAAATCATTAAGCCGGACATTACTTCAGCAAACACTGTCATAATCGAGATATCGATTAACTAAAAATGATTCTTTTGCTTATGATAAAGCTTTCTTCATTTACCGATCAACTGAAAATCATTTTTTACTTATTTATCATAAAAACTTTATTTATTTTTACCGATAAAATGAGATGCAGCTGGGTATAGAATGGCTTATTAAAGCAACATGTCGAGAAAAGTCCAAAAATACTCATTGAGACTAGATGGAGGGCGAACAACGTCTGAAAACACAAAAGTAAAAGCAAAAGATGATAGCTTTTGATTAGAAGCGTTTTTCTTGATAAAACATTTTCTAAAAGCACCCGTTTGTTAAAAATACCACACCAGAACTGCCAGTTTACATTCGATGAGCCCAATTTTGGCATCATTGAGCGATTCCACATCAAATGACACCAAATGTTGAACTGATCAAAGGTAAACTAGAATAACTAGAACTTGAATACTAGCAATTTGCCTGTATTGGCTCTGATTACGGTATTTGTAAGCGACTTTGAAAAAACACTAATCATAAAATTGTTTCAAAATGGCACTTACCGCATACCGCCACTCTGTTCTGTTGTAGCTCGCGACTTAGCCAAATATAACCGCAAAAGATCGCGATTGGGGTGTAAATGGCGAAGAGAAGAAGTTGCATGAATCGGAAAGCAGTCTAAAAGATTTTTGAATGAATCTGATTCAATATGAAGTCATGAAGTCACTTGTGAAACTTACAACAGTCTTGATGCAGCAAAAACAGCAACAGTTTCGGTAGTTTCTTTCTTCGTATGGTTTCGGGTTTTGGTTTGACGGTCGCCACAACCAAGTTGAGATGAATTGATCTAGACGTGAGAAAATGGGATTAGCCAATGCTATGCAAAACTTAGGCACTATTCATTTTACTCAAAAAGAGCGTTACTTCTTTCATGATCGATCACAATTCCAGTAGTTCCTCCATCGCCCTCGAGCACGATTTGAAAATCTCTAAACCATTCATCTTAATCATTGTCCAAAGTTCTTTCAAAGCCAGGATTTATATTTATTTTTGTTTATAATTTTGTCTTTTTCACTGACCTGACATATTGATAAAAGGTGACACTCAAGACCAGATACCAGGCGAAAAACCAAGTGCAGAGAGCCCAAATGAGAGCGGCAAGGAAACCTGAAAATTTTTCTGAAAAGATTAGAATGCTCAAATCGACACTAGAAAGCATTTTTGTTTGATTATATACCCAAAAATGCAGACGAGGTTCGTGGATTGTATCCGAAAAATGACAAGCAACCAAGTGGAGCAAAGCTATGAGCATCGCTAGAAAAAAGATCGTCCCTGCAAGTCGATAAATTTGGAAATAAAGCTGGATTACTTACAAAAATTCATTTGCGAGAATCATGGTAGTGCCGAAAGAGGTGACTGTTACAATAATGAGAACTGGGAACTGAAATTGTTTGTGAAGTTTGTTGATGACTAAAACGGGGGGAAATCTTCCAGGAGTCTAGCTATTTAAAGAACAAAAGGAGTCTAGCTACTAAAATATCGAGTTTGTCTATTTAAAGAACTCTTTTTCTTTTTGTTGCAATCAAATAAAATTTTTCGTATGTCACTTATGGCCCACAAAAAGTCCCTGGACTCTCCAGCTTATCTTCTCTGGAAATCGTTCTTTGCATTTCTTACTTTACTTTATTAACCAGCTCAACAAACCCTGGGACTTTACTAGTCCTAGAGCCTGTTCAAACAACTGACAACTACCTTAAAAGACTTACAATTAAAATGATGTAAAGTTGAGTCCATTTCGGCTCTCGATGACTCCAGGCAAAGATAGCAAGAAGTGAGGCGAGGATGCAGAATTGAGAGATGCATAACTGAAATTTTTGTCTACTCTTTGAGAGTGTTTTGTCCCATTGTGCACGATTTATATCTTCTCATCGCTTAAGCATATTATCAAAATCACGATTTGTTTTATCTAAACGAACCTTTCTATTCTGATACAGCGAATTGTTTCCATGATCCGCATCGAAGAAATTCTCTCCCATCCACGGGATCAAGATGATCACGAAGAAAACACTGAAGAAACCCAAGAAAAACTGGTTGACGACTTTGAAAGCTTGCTGAAATTGATGTAAAATTTGGAGGAAAGTTAAAGAAGTACTTTAGCCGTGGAACGATTGTAGCAAACTGGGTAGTTTGCTTCATCAACCGGGGTGTAAGGGGTTGCTTTAGGCCGCCAGAGCCAGGCATTGTTCATGCTGTCTTCAAGGGCTTGTCTAAAGAAATTTATAGTACTTGCTTCTAGGTTTACTTATTTATTTAATATTTTAGCTAGATAACATTAGTATAGCCAACGATTATGGGGAAAAAATTGGAAAATAAGCGAAAGAATTGGAAAATAAGCGAAGAGAAATAAGAAGCAGAGCTATGTTTTGTCTTAGTCATCATAAAACGAAAGAAAAGGCAATCGATTGCGAAAAATCGTTGCCTTTTTCAAAAAGATTATACAGCAATCACAAAAAATTTCCCTTTTGCTGTAGATTAGCACATCAAATTTACATTTAACTCCAGGTTTGCTAATTCTTTTGTACGCAACTTTAAAATAACCAAGAGATTTAACGATTAAAAAGTAATTAGAAAAGACTTTTTCTTTATTGTTTTTATCTTTTTTCAATAAAAAAAACCTTCTACTATCAATCCAGTTTTTCACTTGTGAATCCATTGTAAAGGTTTAAGTCAAGCTCTAAGCAAATTGTGAAAAATCGTTGCCTCAGTTTCGATCAAACTTTACAATTAATCACTCTTTACGATTAGTAAAGTTGAAAAAGAGCTATATCTTGAAAAGTGCTGAAAATAAACAATGCTTTCAAAAAAGCACAAACAATGTTGGCACATTTACCATGTGGTTGATGAAGAGGGAATTTTTCCTTCTGATCCTCCTCTTTTTCTAGTGTCCCATTTTCTCTACAAATCAACATCGAAAGGAAGATATTCTGAGAATTGGCTTTTGGAATAATCTTTGTTAAATTTTAAACAAATCTTTCTAACTATAGATACTTTCCAAATTGAGTCATTTAAATAATGAAAAAGCACAAAAAAGTAAATCAATTTTGAATGGAAAAGCCTAGAATTTGCGATAATCTTTTGAAAAATGTAATCTTTGTTATGAATTTTATGAATCTACTTATCAGTGAATCACTTGGTTACATTAAATTTTGATGATAAGAAGACTGGTGATTTAAAGAAAAGTGTCTCAAACTTGCTTATCATCTGTCACAAAATCACAATCATAATTCCTTTTTCTAAATTGCTCAAGATGTTGAAATTATTGTTATGGTGTTGAATAAGCATGTAATTCATCGGAGAAATCAAATCCAATAAAAGAATTGTCTTCATTTTTGAATTGAAACATGTTGAAATACATTTTCTTCGCTGTATTCATTACGATTTACGCCGAAAAGGCGAGTGTGACGGTGTCCGGGAAATGGACGTGCAATGGGAAAGCGGTTGAGGGAGTTGAAGTGACACTTTATGAGTGGGACATGTGAGTTTCAGGCTATTTGGCTATTTGGCTATTTGGCTTAGCATTAAACTCTAAAATTGGTTTAGTTTCGATCCAAACGACATCCTCGACACAGCCATCACAGGATCCAATGGGGAATTCACGGTGCAGGGTGAAGATTGGGATTTCCCAATCGTTTGGTTTAATTTGAACGTCACCCACAAATGTTTTCCCGATTACAAGCCGCATAAAAGATGGTCGGAACTTTTTGTGAAAGATGGCAATTGGGTGAGAAGAATTATAAATCAAAGATTCTAATAAACTAGGCTTCAGAATTTCTATTTTTTCTGTACAAGGTGTTCAAGATTTATGGAAACCAGTCGATTACTATGTTTAGAGCTCATTTTGTACAATTTTAATATTAAAAAGGAAAAAAACTCATCGATACTCCCAACTTTAAGAACTTTAAGTCACTCTTCTTTAAAATTATTGCCTTTTGCGTTGTTGCTTGTCTAAAAACATCTATGGAAAGCGCTTACTGTGGCAGAAATTGAGTTTTTACAAAATCTCGTTAAACTTTCTTGGAAGAACTCAAACTAAAATGATTCTAACATGATTCTAAAATCTTCAAATGATTCTAACATGTAATTCTAACATTGTTAATGTCGCGTAGCTCGAAAACTGTTAAATAGTGAAGATTTTCTTATTGTTAAACAAGAACAACTGGGATTTGACTCCTTTTGGTGAAATTTGGTGATCAAGTTCAGATAAATCAATTTTTAAAATATGAAATTTAGTAAACTGTAAAAATAATCTAGAAAGTCGAGTTTTTTCCAAGTTCTGCAGTCCTTTCTTGACGCTTTTTTTTCATAAACCAAATTTGAAAGCGCTAAACGACCAGCGAGCTCAAATCTGCTCATAAATATTGAACATTGAACAACCTTGTATCATAACTTTTTAGTTTTGTCCTTTCTCGACGACGATTTGGATCAAGAAAGCGTGCCTCAATGAACATTGTGATATGGGTGCGAATGAATTGAATGGAAGGGGGCAACCAACTGAATGTCGGTCATCGGAGAAAGTGAGCGAGTGATGGGAATAAATGGTTCTATATTGTAGGCTTTGTATTGTAAGCTATCTTCAAATAAGCTGTAAGCTGTCTTCAATCTGTATTTCCAAATCAGCAAACACTTTTCCGCTGTGTCCTCATTAGGATCTAGCTTTTAGTAAAGCGAGGTCAGGTTCACAGGTAATTTAAACAAGTAACAGGTAATTTAAAAGCCATAACAAGAGCTAATATTTTTGCTTGGCTCTGTCGTGCTTGGGCCTTTCCGAACAAATTTCTACAAACTTTTTATGCATTTTTGTTCACTTTAAACTTTTACTCAAATCAATTTATTCTCAAGGCAAAATGTTTTAAACCACGAAAAAGAAACTAAAGAAAAATCGAAGAAAATCTATGAACTCGCTGATTTCTAACACTTGGTCTGATGTAAATGCTCGTTTCTCTTAAAGAAAATGAAAAAAAAGAATCAAAAATTGAGCGAAAAAACGGGATAAAGCATTGGGAAAAGTGTTCAAAAATGAAAAAAAAACAAAATTTTACATAAATTTTTCAATACGGTGACCCGCTTTTGAAAGTGGATGATAGGAGGATTAAAAAACAAAACAAAAAAGCTTAAAAATTCAGCTAAAACATTGTAAAGTAAAGCTCTAGAAATCGTAAAAAAAAACAAGAATTTCACAGAAACTTTTGTAAATTTTGATTTTGATTTTTTTTGATTACAAAATGAGAAGAGAGGCTTCCATTTGAATCAGTTAAACAATCAGTTTTGTACTTTGTACTTTGATAAACGTACTTCTTCTGAAACACCAAAGTGGTTTACTAGATGGCGAGCGTTTCTAGGAGAACTCAAAGTAAATTATAACAATTGTTATGTTTTGAATTGACTTCAAAACATAACAGTTGTTGAACGCAAGCCAGTTTGGTCAGAACGCACGCCTTCTGGCACGTCAAAATCAAGTGGTTTGCCAGATGGATTACTGGAAAGTACAAAGTACAAACTGGAAAAGCTCCATAACACTCTGAATTCCGTTTTGAGCCAAAATAAAAATCGTTTTGTAGTGGAATTTTGGTTTGAAACGGATTCTACAACTAAAACTGTCTAATAATTTTGGCGAAAAAGAAACCAATAACGGAAAAAAGACAAAGAAATCAATGATTTAATCAAAAATTTTAAAATTACTCTTTTCTTGAATACTATAAAGAATAAGCATCAACTCTCTCAACATTTTCTTCGAAAGCGCTCGGGTTTTTATTTCTTTGCGGCTTGGCTTCCAACTCCATTTCCTGAAAAGAGAATGATTGAGATCAGATATTGAGTTTGCTCTGTGATTTGTTTTATACAACATATACGACACCACTTTGCTAGTGACTTTTGCAAGACTTTCTATCTAATAGCTAAACGATACTAGAGAAGCTTGATGGTGCGAGAAATCTTGTGGTTTCAATTTGAGAAATTTCCTCTTATTCGAGTTTTAGTGTAGTCTGAACAGCTAGAATATCGAAGAATATCGACTATTCATAAAAACTAGCTCTTATTCGAGTTTTGGTGTCTAACCAACAGCTAGATCAAGAATATCGACTATTCAAGATTACTATTCAAAAAACTAGCTCTTATTCGAGTTTTCGTGTAGTCTGAACAGCTAGAATATCGAAGAATATCGTCTATTCAAGAATACTATTCAAAAAACTAGCTCTTATTCGAGTTTTGGTGTCGAGTCTAATCAGCTAGATCAAGAATATCGACTATTCAAGAATACTATTCAAAAAACTAGCAAAAGCTTAAGTTTTCTAAATTAATAATTTAGGTATTTACAAGTGTTTCATCCATGATCGGATAGTCATTAAAGCATTAGGCTGGCTGATAAGTTCGTAGAATTTTTTCTTAACTTTTAAAGTGTAATTTCTCAAAAAAAACCACCATCAATCTTTCTGAAAATTTTACAATAACTTTTAATAAAGGTGAAAGGTTTTTTTGTCAAAATGAGGTTTCCTTTCCCGCCTTTCTACGAACTTATCGGCCAGCCAAATAATTCTTTAAGTTCAAAATTTGGTCACAAAAAGCCACGTCTTAGGGGCTCTCGAGTTTTAGAGATTTGAAATTCTATAGAATTGCTAATATTGAGTTCCTGGGCATTGAAGTAAGGTGTTGAAAGTAAGCAGTAAATCCTACCAAAAAAAGTTTTATGAGGAATGGTTAACTCTAGGCCGAGCTACGCACTAGAGAAAAAGTGGCCGTAATTCTGGAACACCTTGTGTGCCAGATTCTAACCCTTATACCCTGGGTCAGCTAGGTTTGCTAGGTTCAGGATAATCCTGGCTGTGTTCTGCCGAACAGGTCCTGGGGAAAACCTGGATAGGAAAACCTGGATAAGAAAACCTGGTTAGGAAAACCTGGATAGGAAAACCTGGATAGGTTCCAGACAGACTAGACTAGTAAACCAGATCAAATCCTTGCCAACTTTAGGATCCAACTAATATCTACAAGTCACCAACTATTGGACACTCTTGTTTGCGCTGTGAGACATATTAGTCGATTTGAAGCCACAATCAGTACAACGACTCTCTGCAAGCCTCTACTAACGACCCGTGTTGTCTACTTCTACAAATTTCTTTTCTATTCAACCACCACAACACGCCACTCATTCTCTCGACCATTGACATCTACCAATCATGCCCATTTCTCTACCTTCAAAAGGGCATGTTGTTGTCTGAGTGATTGTATCGTTCTCTGATACTCAGTCAAAGCTTCTTCCGATCTCTCGGTCAGCACCGACAATTTTCCCGACATATTATCGGTGTACTCGAAGATCGGCGTCGGTTTTATGTAATCACCTGAATGAGATCAGGGTCTAACAACTAGATACAAATTTCTAATGGTGTCACTCTCATTCCTTTCCACAAACCATTCCAATGTGTGACTAATAAGGGTTTCATTTTGAAAATTGAAGTCTTGAAGTCTTGAAGTTTACCTTCATTTTGTCCCTGAGATCGGCGACAACGATGAACGCATGGGATTGCACAGGAGACAAGGCCGGCGACGAGGATCACAGCACCGCCCAAGTAGAAGCACATGTCGTACGAGAGGGTTAAATCATAAGCCAAACCTGGAAAGTTAAGTTATGATTGAGGTTTCAATAAAAACTAGGATAAGATCTCAGATTTGTCTTAATCTTTGATCTGTTTTTAAACGTAAACCATCAGTTTAACCATCATTAACACATTCACAACGATACCCACCGGCAATCCGCACTATTATTTTTGGTGTCAACTCAAGGATTTTGTTACTTATTCTCCGTAAAATTCTCTAAAAGTTCTTCGTAACTTTTGCTAGTTTTCAAGAGCAGATTCAGGGCTATAATTATAATAGTTTTATTTTTGAATTTACACCAAATTATCAGTAAAACAATAAGCCAAAATGTATGCCCAAAATGCCGTCGTCGCGAAAGAAAAGAAGATTTATTGCTAAGAAATTAAATCCTTGAGGAATACAGACTAATCTGATACTGAACTTTCCTTATCACTCACCAGCAAACGGAGTTCCGAGAAGGCAAGCGAAACCTCTGTAGACGACGAGAAGACCGAAAGAGTTCGTCAATTTCTCAATGCCCAAAAGATCAGCCAAAACGATTGAGGTGAGACAGATGTAGGCAGCTGAAAATCGATTACTTAGTTCACTTTGAAGTTCACTTTGGCATCACTTACAAATGATAAGTCCGAAGAGAGCTGCGTAGACGACAAGTGTTGTGTAGGTGTTACAGAATGGGGCAACAAAGCAAAGGAGACCGCAAGTGACAAGTGAGAAATTGTTGATGGTGAGCGAGGAGACGAATTGACGATCGGCCAGCCAGCCACAGATAACCCTGCCTGGAAATGGGGAACAAATTGCTCAATCTACTAGCACCACTTTGTTAAAAATACGTCAAATACGTTTTGAAGTTGCAATGATCAATCAGCCATGTTTAGATCTTCGAGTTTTTCACTCACCAACTGTGTTGGTGACTCCAATAATGGGCACCAGATACATCGCTTCATCTTCGGAGATTCCCTTGAAAAGAGCCAAATCCTTCAAGAAAACGAACGGGATGTAGAAGCCCATCATTCCGAGCAGATTTGAGATGCATAAGAGGAACATGACCGGGTCCTAAATTCGGATTGATCTTATGAATCAGTTGAACACGCCGGTTCTTTTATCAGTTCGCGCTAGGAATACAAAGGATGGTCGGTGCCGGGATTCGAACCCGCGACCGCTTACCGAGCGAACGCTCTACCAATGACAAGGAACCCATTGCCGTCAGAGTAGGGCCTTATGCCTTATCTACTTTTTCTTGTCAATTCCTTCACTTCTTTATTACTGATACACGTGGTTTTGATTTTCTAGTAGGGCAGAAGCCCACGGTTCTGAAAATCCAGGTATTTCCTTCCGTCTTTCTTTCTTCCTTTCTTCTTCCCCTTTGTCTTTCCTTTTTTCTCTTGGTAAGTTAAGGTACTGGATAGCTAAGTGGTTAGAGTAATTGCCAGGATCGAGGGTAACTGGTTAGAGTAATTGCCAGGGTCGAGTAATCAATCAAGGTCGAGCAAAGGTCGAGGGTTCAATCCCCTCTCCGAAACTCGACTTTTTCTTGCCAATTCCTTCACTTTAAAGAAGTTTGACAGTCGGTAATTGAGCCAGGCTTGGTAAGAAAAAGGCAAAGGTTTTAAAGAGTTAACAAAGTCATAACGGTTTTCTAACCTTATTACTAGGTTTTAGGTTAAAGCCAGTAAACTGACACAATAAAGTTTCACTCACCATCATCAATTTCAAATCGATCATCTCGTTAAACGTATTGCGCACACCAGCTGGGATCCATTTGCATTTGCTGAAAATTGAAATTAAGATCTAGATAGATTACGGTAGCTAAATGTGATACAAATATCGAACCTATCATCGGGCACAGCTCCCTCACCGATCACCGTTCCTGGAATGTTCGTGATCGATGCACGATACGACAAGGCGTCTCCTGAAAAGTTTTATAAATGTAAAATTTGTGAAATTTGGAGAGAAAGTCGATGCGATGAAGGCAAAACCGGCGATGATCGATCCGATCCGATGTAAAGACTTGATTTTCACTATAAAGCTAACCTTCTTCCTTGAATTTGTTCAATTTAGTGACAGATCCAGTGTAGAGAGCGTCTTGACGATTCAACGGCTTAGCGATCTCTTCAGCTTCATGTCCCTAGAAAATAAATGGCCGTAAAGACTCTAATAGAACGGACGTACAGTCGCGTAGTCTAACTTTAAAAGTCCCGTTCTCCGCGTTTCTTTATGCTACAGTATACGCTTTGGTGTCAAATGATAGCTCTTGAAATCTAGTATTTTTTGGTATCAAAAGTGTAGTTGGAAAAATCTAGGAGCTTGGAAAAAAATGATATTCTAAATATTGGTTTTTTTATAATTATATAGATTTATATCAGAAAGCTGAGATCTCATTTTGGATAAAAAAATTTTATAACTTTTTTGAAATTGACTGCAAAGGAAGGTCGTTTCGAAAAACCCATCCAGCTTACTTTCCTTATTTTTTGGTTAAAATAACCTAGAATAAAGATGCTCTGAAATATATATTTTAAAATTTTTTTTTAATTTAATTGGAGCAATCAAAGGCCCCTTCCATTTTTTGCCCCCTTCTTCTTCAGTTCAAACAGTTGAATGAATTCAAAATTTTATATCAAAATGTAGAGGAGTCTTCACTTCCGAATATATATATATCTTTTTCTTTTTTCGATCTTGAGAAATAGCTTCTGAACCCAATAGCTCTTAGACTACGCGACTGTACAAGAGTATTAGAGTATTTACGGTAGATAAAATATTCAAATTCTAAACGTACAGTAAGATTGAGACTCAATTGTGATTGCCCGTCTTTAGAGAGTCGATTCACTGAGTTGGCGAAAGTTTTTGCGGAGACTTTCGCGAGATTTCCTTTTGATTCGGAGAGTTCGGAGCTGATGCTAAAAGGGAAATGGTAAAATCTAAGAATTTAATATCAAAAATATCAAATATCTCTTATATTTTAGATAAAATATCTTATTTTACCTGGTCAACGTCATTTTTCTTGGTCTGTGCTGAGCGCCTTGACTGTCGGTGCGCTGTCGCTGAAAATTTGATTCTTTTCATAATTTACACCTAACCAATACAATTTCTAGCAAATCGAATTCTTATATTTTCCATTTTTAAACATTTTTTTACTAACTGGCGACTTCTCATCGTCATCATCGCATTTCTCGAGCGCGTTCTTCACTTTCTCCATCGCGTCCCCATTCGGTTTCACTCCAAGAGTCTAAAAAATGGAAATGAAACTTCTAAATTTGATATTTACCTCATGCTCATGTCCATTTTCCTTCAATGGCTGTAATTCGACATCTTTCGCCTTTTCAGCTAAAGCTGGTGGCGTTAATTCTTTGTAAAGACAGGCGAAGGCGATACATGTGAAGATCAACACGGCCAGAACCCAATCGGCTTTTTGCCAGCCGAAGTCTGAAAATTGGTGGATTAGGTGAAAAATTGCATACTTGAAATCAATATTTAAATTTTAACTCACTTTGGACACAGTAACGAGCGACGAATGGCATCACGATTGTTCCCACTCCCGAACCGGCAACGGCGATTCCTGTGGCAACAGCTCTGAAAGTTTACCGCTTGATTTACTACTTAAATCGATTCAAAAATGCTCTACAAGTATACTTTATCTTCTTTTAAAACATCCACAAACCTTTTACTCTCAAAGTAATATCCAACAACAACAATCGCCGGCAAATAGATCATTCCGAAGCCGATGCCTCCAAGAATTCCGTAAATGATGATAAAAACTGTGAGATTTGGGGAGAAAGTCGATGCGATGAAGGCACAACCGGCGATGACCGATCCGATCATCACCGTTTTCTTTGAGCCGAACTTGTTGCACATTCCACCGACGAAGGGACCTGGAAAAAGCCTGGTTTAATTTGGTCAGTACTTGTTTCAAAACAAGTTCGTTAGAGGATTCGATTCGATTCGATTCGTTAGAGGGTTCGCTCAAAGCGAGGATTCGATTCGAATCAGGATTAGGCGGATCCGGATCTCTACGCAAGAATACAAAGAACGCGGCTACGCGGCACTCCTAAACGCCACAACGGTAGGCTATTGAAGCGTCGCGTAGCCGTTGTAACGGTCTTTGTATTCTTGCGTAGAGATCCGGACCCGGATTCATCCAGCTCTTTTTTGAATGAACAAGGAACTCACCGACAAGCAAATAAGATCCGATAAGGAGTGATCCGATGAGTGCTGTTGAAGCATCTGATCCCTAAAAGAGATTTTGTAGAAAAGATTGAATCTAACAATTGTAGCTTGTTAAAAAAACCCGTTTTATTGATTTACAGCAAAAACAAGCAAAATTAGAAACAAAAACAGAGATTTTTTGATGATTTCATTACAATGCAACTTTGTTTTAATGTTTTTTTTAAACTTAAACCTTTATATTCTTACTATTAGATTGTTAAATATCGCACCTTGAAATGTTCTTTATAGCTCTGCTTAAACTCGGTGAAGCACGTGCAAATCCCGTCGACGATGAGATTAGAGAAGAAAGCCGCGATCACAATCACCCATCCATATCCACCATCTGGAGGCACCGGCAACAATTGCCTTGCCACATCGGCTGCTGCAAAATTGTTGGTTTAGTTAAATCTTTAGTTCTAGATCTTTTATCTTTTACTTATTAGTTTCTTGGTTTATTTTTCAGCTTCAAGAACTTATCAAAAAAGAAATGAGAAAATTTTGAATCCATTGAGCAAATGAGAAGATTTATCATTCAAAATAAACCCGATGAATCAAATTTTGCAAATTTTTGGAGTACTTTCTAACTTTAACAGCTTGAAAATGATAAAATTTATTTGCAAAACAAAACTTACGATCTCCAACTAAATTCAGGGAGAGTTGAGACATTGAGTCGGCTTTGGCGTGATCCTGAAAGAGAAAAATTTGTTTAATTTGAAACTTTTAAATAGGTTTATCAATCTTGAACTAATTATTAAATAATTAAGACTTAAGTTCTCTAATCTTCGTTCAAACTCCAGCAATTTCAGCTCACCTGAAATTCGGCACTTCCCACAAACGAGGCACCGTCTTCAAACTCGCCGTGCTCTAAAAGTAAAGAAAATTAACTGTTTTCAAAAGTTTCCAGCAAATAAAATAACTTTTAGGTATTAAATTCGAATAATAAAATGAAGTGATTTAAAGAAATCAAAAGGTTTCTAAGTTCTAAACAACTAAAAAGCACTGTCAAAGTAGAAATTCGTTTTGAAACTTGGTTAGAAACTTAGAACAGCTCAAAATAACCCTAAAAATCTGTTATTCTTGCGATTTGAAATGAAAAACTGAATGAAAAAATGAATTTAATGGAAATGGAGTGTGCCCGAGAATCCACGTGGACACTTTTTGGCTTCAAATCGAAAGAAACGAACAAAAAAATCAAATATCGAGAGATGGGGATGAGAAAAAGAATGTACAGATCAGAAAAAAAATGAAATGTTGGCTTTGGAATGTTGGCTTTGAAATGTTTACATTTCTGGGCTATTATTGAATGAAAATGGCTTCTGATTGAAATGAAAGGAGACTAATTGCTGAAGAAGTTGAAAAGTTGGAGCTGAAGCCTTAGCACATTGAAATCGAAATCGAGTTTTGTCAAGAAAAGTCACTTCAAATACTTATTTTCAAAACAGAATTCAAAACAGAACAAAAGCTAATGTTTCCGAAAATAAAATTGATCAGATCTTTACGGTCATTTATTTTCTAGGGACATGAAGCTGAAGAGATCGCTAGGTAGATCTGATCTTCGCTTTAGAATTTAACTTGAATTCAAAACTCCTGAACTGAAAGTAAAGAAAAGAAGAACAAAAAGAATATCTCACCAGTAAAATTAAAGAGACCTAATTTATTCTGTTAGTTTTACAGGATTCAAAATCTGTTTTTAATTGCTTGAATAATTTTGTATCAAGAGATATTTGACATAAAAGTTTTAAACTTAAAATAAGCTAAGCCAGAAGGTAGGGCTAAATAAAATAAAGCTATACAGATCTCATTGTCAGGTGTAAAAAGATAAATCACTAAAATAATATATTGGGGAGTGTGATTGACTAGGTGTCTCTTTTAGGAACAATGGGTTTTCCTTTCATTCACTGTCCAAATCTGATATCAGAGTGATACAAAAGGGAAAAGTTTGGAAGAGAACAAGAGAACGGTCAATGAGAGCACTTTGGGGGTGTGTTTAGAGAGAGAAATGTGTGAAATGGAGTGACGGGGAAAAGTGGAGAAGAAAAGGGGAAAGGGATCAGCATCTCATTTTCGGACATGTAGACAAATACACTGATATGAGCGAATTTATGGCTGTAGCGATTGTTTCGCGAAATCGACAGACGTTTACATTGTGGGTTTTGGATCGAAATACAGAGGTCACTCAGCAATTTCATGTGAAAGGCATACTTTTCGGAGATTTACAAGGGATAGGCACCAAGTCAAGGTAGGAAAACTTCATTAAAGACATCAGAGCTCTCAGGCAATTATTCCACCTTGACTTAGTGCCTTTTCTAGTAGTCAAAAGGATGTCAAGTAGTTTTATAGTTTTGTTTTTGAATTAGTTTTGCTTTTTTTTGTAAGTAGGATTCAAAAGCCACAACTTATCCATCAATAATAAGAATAATAAATAAAAAGAATACTTATTAATAATAAGAACTCTGCCTGCATACTATATCCAGAAGAATTTAAAAAAGATCGACTCTAGAAACCCTGGCACTTGTAAAAAGCTTCAGAAATGTTTAGGAAATGTTAAAATCTAAAGTAGCCAATAGAATGATCAAGTTCAAGATTCTATAGAATCTTAAACAAACTTAAGCATCAAATCTAGTTGCCCAATAGTGACGCTATTCCCTTTCCTGAACCTTGTTCGAGCAATTAGTCGAAAGAACAACCCTACAAATCTCTTCAACAAACACCAATTAATCATTGGCAAAGAATGTTCGGTTGGTTATCAAAATCGGGGATCTTTTTGCTCGGAAAAGAGATGGCCTCAAAAAAAAGGTGAAAAATTTTTGGATGGAATTTTGCTGAGGGCGACAAAATCGGTGTCTGCGATCTCCGTTGATGGGAGGATGAAAGATGAAGAAGAAAGGATTAAAGAGAAGATTGGGATAAGAGTTTGTGAGAAATGGTTACGGAATAGCTCTAGTCTAGTTTTAGATTTTCTTGGGTATAACAGTAAAAGCCAAAATTTCCGAGTGAAGAGACAAAAGAGGTTTTTTGAAATGTAAAATGTATTCAAATCAGAAAATGTTTCGAGGCCCAAGAGCGGCTAGGGAAAAGCTTTTACTTGAGTAGTTAGCAAAGCCAAGAAATCATATTATTGCTATGAATGAGGCTGAATAGAAAACGGAAAGTGTTTTCAAGGTAAAGATTTTGAGAGTTTAGAGCAGTCACATTGTAAAGAGGTCGGCATTTTGCAGAAAAAAAAGGGACCTCGAGGTGGGGTGACGTGAGAACAATCTTTTCTCATTTTTTGGCCTGGAAACAAAGAGTCGTCATCAACTTGAACAGCGGTTTTCGAGAAAAAGAATTTTAATGAAAAAAGTGTTCAGCACATGTGGTTTATGAAAAGAAAAAGAAAATAAACGATGATGGGAAAAGTGGAGAAATGGATATAATATAAAAATGGGGGTGGGACAAATGCTACCTTTTTTTTTGCGCACCTGGACATTTGCGCACATTTTTTTTGCTGGAAAAGGCCTTAGGAAAAGTCGTAGAGCTTCAAAAACGTTTTCATAGAAGGGAATCGTATGCGTAGATTCAGAATTTTGACAAACCAGACCTCGCTGACACGTCAAATTTGGGCTAAAAGGCAAAAACTACGCAACTTAACGCTTTTCCGCAGTTTTTGCCTGTTAGCCCAAATTTGACGTGTCAGCGAGGTCTGATTTGTCGAAATTCGGAATCTACGCATACGATTCCCTTCTATGAAAACGTTTTTGAAGCTCTACGGCCTTGCCTAAGGCCTTTTCCAGCAAAAAAAAGGTGCGCAAATGTCCAGGTGCGCAACAAAAAGGTCGCATTTATAAAAATATAAAAGCTAATGATAGCTATTATCTTTAAAAGCCTTTTTAACAATCGAATATCTTTTTTGAATACTTTTTGATAACTGAATATCTTTTTAAAAGCCTTTTTTGTCAATTGAATATCTTCTTTTAAACTTTTTCATAATAGAATATCTTTTTCTTAGCTAAATATTTAGTCTTTTCCCAAATGATCTCTATTCCCACCGCAATGCTAAAAGCTTTTCATTTCGCTAAAATCTTAAAAAACAATTAGCACTCAAATGAAAATTAAAAACAAACGAATGGATTTTAAAATAATCAAATATCAAAATCAAAGTGTCTCTTCCTTTTTGTTTAATGTGAATCATTCAGAAAACTTTTTGAATGTTCAACTTCAAAAGAAAAGTGAAACAAATATATATTTTGACTTAAATTTGGAAACACCATCATGTGCAGAAAAACTTTGGCTTAAATTTGGAAACACCATCATGTCTGGTGCAGAAAAGCTTATAAGTGTGGTTTCAAAGTGGTTTCAAAGTGGTTTCAAAGTGGTTTCAAAGTGGTTTCAAAGTGGTTTCAAAGTGGTTTCAAGGTGGTTTCAAATTGTTTTTCTGTTTCCAAATTTGAGCACAAAGTAAATCTCAATGAGCAATTTGATTAAAAAATACCCTTTTTCGCAAACTCAATTTTTTTAGGACATCATTATTGGTAAATGAAAGACTAGAAACTAGAACTAGTACACTAGAAAGTGTTTATTTCTATTGTTGGATGAGCACAAAGAAACAATGCACCACAAAGAAACAATTCATCAAAAAGCTTATTGGAAACAGAAAAACAATCTAGAAGCAAGACCAGGAATGTACCAAAGTAAAGAACTTTGAGCAGATCATGGTACAAAGCTAACTTCAAATTTTCGTTGTACTGCAAGGTGTGATAGTTGGTTGATTTCAGATTTTGGGTGAATTCCGATCAAGTCTTATCATTTCTTTTTCTCTTTTTATTGAGCTTTCCCTTGTTTTCTCTTATCAGTACAGACATTCATCGTTTTTCTAAGAGTTTTTCTCTATAATGCGTCAATTTTAGCACCACCTTCTAAAAGAAAAAAAATGGCTGAGTGCTGATTGTTGAAAAGTCGGATGTTGCACGGGGAAATGGATTGCCGGAATTTGGACTAGAGTCTCGAAAATGAAATGAATCATTTTTCAGAAGGGTTTTAGATAATTTCAGTACTATGTTAGTAACTGGGATTCATTTTCTGAGCAGTGATAGTATAGGGAATTAGATTACTTGTTGGTTTAGTTGTTGGAGTCAAATTCGAGATTTGATTTTTTTTCTTACTTAAAATTTAAAGTTGTTATTGAAATTGACAACTTGAAGTTTAAAAAATTGGTTTGGTTGATAGAAATCTAGAAACTCAAAAAGCCAGCTCATTGTCCGTTAAGTTGGTACTAGACTGATTGTGAATTATTATCAGATCTAGATTTTCTACCATTTAGTATTAGATCTATCTAGTACTATAGATGAATTGACACAAAATTGATTAGAGAATCTCTTTCTAAAACAAATACTAAAAATCAGGTCTAGGGATTGAACATAAAATTTGAATCAATCTCTAAAACACTACGATGAGTCTAACAGAAAGTTGAAAAAACAAAGGAAAGTCTTTGAAACCAAGTGTGTGTTAGAACTCGTGTTAGAAAGTGTTAGAAAGTGTAAGAACTCGCTAATACTTGGAGAGATTTACAGACTGTTGAAAGAAAGAGATAGCAAAAATATGAGACAGACTAATTCCTGTGTCGCCGATAGATGGTTTCTGGAAAGATTGAAGGGAATTGGGGAAAGGGAATGGCGCCAATCTTTTTGTTTTCTGATTTGAAGACATCGATACGGATGGGAAATAAAGGAAAGATATGAATCATTTTGGAAAAAGATAGGGAAAAATAAAGATCGAAAAATCGACAATCAAACTGGGTGTACTTTTGAATACTAAAAGTTTTATATTATCAAAGAATCTCGAATAAAGTAGACTTTAGTTTTTAAATCTGATAGTGAGAGGTAGGTATGGGGTAAGGTAGGATACCCCATAACTAGTTATGGGGTATCCTACCTTACCCTATAACTAGTTATCCCCATACCTAGCTATGGGGCATCGTCGGGATACCCCATAGCTAGCTATGGGGTATCCTACCTTACCCTTACACCGAAACGTATGTAACGAAACTATGACCCTTTTCGGGACGATGCCCCATACCTAGTGCTAAGATTTACAGAAATTCTCAAACTTTATTTCAACGAACCGTCTTTTTTAAGGGGTTTCCCCTCATGATCCTTTTTGGTGTCACCTCCCATCGATTCCTCACTGAATTCACTTGTCGATGGGAATATAGAGATGATCACCTAAAGTTAAATAATGTGAACTGTGGTTTAAACCATGAAATGCGAAAGTGAAGAAGTGAAGAACAAGAGCCGGCTAAAGATAGGCTAAAGAGGTAATAGGGAATTTGAATCTACCATAAATACTGCAATAGTACCCCACCCCCATAATGACGGTGTGGAGTGTTGCGTAGTCTAGCTTTGAACAAGTTTTTCTCGACACTAGTTTATGCTACAATGCGCGCTTAGGTATCAAAAAATAGCTGAAATTCAGGGCTATTTTTTGATACCAAAGACGCTTTTTTTGAAAATACGGGCGCTTTGAAAAAAATGAAATACTAAAAAACTTTTGCGACTACGCGACTGTACGAAGGGGGTGGGTACTATTACAGTATTTACGGTATATGCTAAGTTGTGATGTACGAAAGTAAAAAAATGATGATTTTACAAAATTATTGCCGGAATGGAAATGTCTCGATTATTTGGAATGCACTTTGGCCTCAATTCGAATGGGAAAACGACGGTGTAGATATTTTAAATGAAAAAAGTAAAATTGGGCATAAATTTTTGTATTCAATTGCACAATTTGCATTAAATTTTCACTACTTACCGTAAATACTGTAATAGTACCCCACCCCCATAATGACGGTGCGGAGTGTTGCGTAGTCTAGCTTTGAACGTGTTTTTCTCGACACTGGTTTAGGCTACAATGCGCGCGTAGGTATCAAAAAATAGCTGAAATTCAGGGCTATTTTTTGATACCAAAGACGCATTCTTTTGAAAGTACGGGGAAAAATGAAATACTAAAAAACTTTTGCGACTACGCGACTGTACGAGGGCGGTGTGTTACTATCACAGTATTTACGGTAAGTGTTCTCAGGAGACTTTCACTGTGCAAATTCGAAACAATGATAGAAGCTAAGAATAATTTTTGCATGAAAACAGAAAACTTTCATTTCTGTTACCATTCTGACTTACAGAATATAAAGCAGATTTTGGTTTCATTTTTGGAAACGTTTGTTTGGAAATTTCCGGGAAATTGTTCGACAATTAAGAAATGAATCTATGAGTAAAGCTGAAAAGAAAAGCTGAACCTTTATTTTATTATTAAATTTTCAAAATTTCAGGTTAGAATCTGTGTTTTAATGCATAAAATCTTATCCCATTAATCCTCTCATTAAAATCCCAGCCTTTTCTCAATGGAATCCCTTTTCCCAACTCTTTTTGTCCAAAATTCCTTTTTTTGATTTTTCAATTTTTAGCAGAACGGCTATTTTGAGGTCCGATTGCCTCAAGAGATTAAATAGAAAGGTGTTTGAGCATTGTTCCGAAATAAAATGGAAAAGGCACGAGTGTTGAATAAAGCCAGCCTAATGCTTTACTCTGATAACAAGAAATAAGAGGCTTGAGGCGATGAATCAAAAGGGAAAATGGAGAAATGAGTTGAAAAACTTTGGACACTACAGGTTTATAAAAAACTTTTGGCAGGTTATAAGGCAAGAAATGAGAGAAGTATAATCTTTTTCGAGCATTCAGCTCAATTCGAGCTCATGCTCAATTCGAGCATTCAGCTCATTGATCTTTTGATTCTGACTAAGTATCATAGATTGGATTAAAACTTATTAATTTAATGAACTTATTAATTTAATAAATCATCAAATAAACCAGATTGATTTTTATTTAATAAAAAAGCATGTCTTTAAAAGAACAACAATCAATTTGAAGAGTAAAAAGTCCAGAAAGGTAGAAGGGGAAAGCTAAAAAAACTACAATCTCAAAAGTAAATGCACAAAAAACTAGCAAATTCCATTTCAGATTGTAGAATTTAAAAAATTAGTCCAGCTCTCACTTGAAACTACTCAAACACCTTTCAGGGAACATTCAAGTTAGCTCAACTTATTCAAAGATTACAAAAAAAGCCTGATACAGGAAAAAGATAATTAAAAAGTCATCTAAAATACTTAATTTTCTGGTTAATTTGATTTTTGAGCGTTCGGGTTAAAAAAGAGAAGATGACGAAGATCGCAGAGTGGGGTAGGGCCTTCCCCTCCCCCACTCTGCGATTGCGGCTGTCATTTGGCTTTCTTCTTCCCATTCAGAGGTCAGATTTCCTTTTCACAGCTAAGAAAAAAGAAAAGCTGTCTGTTCTGTTACACTCTTTTCATCAAAAAGAGACACAAAAGTACGCGTCCCAATGAGTACACGTTTAGGGTGAAGTGAAAAGGAGAACGTGGGGTGGGAAAAGGGAATGGAAAAGAAGAGGAAGGGTTAAGGGTGGTTGTGATAGATTGAGGGGATCAGGCATAAGAGCATTTTCGGCTTTTTGGTCTTTAAAAGTTTGTCAACTTCCGGGCTCGTGTTTTTCTTGTTTTAACTCCGAGAATTGATGAGTTTATGACAAAACTTGGGACATGTGAGTTGAGATTCAGAGATATCAATGTGTTGAAGTTTTTTAGAGTTCTCTACCTTAAAATATACATATCCTAACACGCAGCTTTGTTTCGAGATGAGTTCAAATTTGCCAAGCTACATAAGTTTAGAAAAACCATTGACCATTTGGAAATTTTGAAGTTTTAAAGGCATTTCTTCAATTCGACAGTGGCTGTCGGATTGAATTCGGGTGTCGGATTGAAGCTCAGGGTATTTTCAATAAGTTAAATCGTTTAACTAAGAGAAAAATAACTTATTTTTGAAAATATTAGCTATGAGAGTGCGTTTTGGATGTGCTAGTACTACAGAAATCATGTCATGTCGGGTGGATTGGTGGAGACATCTGTGATGGATCACCCCGTTCACCCCTTTATCGATTCTACCATCCTCAAATCTGATTTTTGAATCTCAATAGGAACTCTCATTGATCTTAAAAACTAGCAAAGCATAAAAAATAAGCAAGTTTTAAGAAAGTATTGTCTTTTTGATGGAAGACTACAAAAGGAGCTCATCAAGGTTCTTAAAAGCACAATGAAGAATGAAAAATTGTAAGATTTTCACATAGTCAAACAACAACTATGATCTAATTTTGATGGAAGACTATAAAAGAAGCTCATCAAGGTTCTTAAAAACAGAATGAAGAAAGAAAAATTCTAAGATTTCCACATAGTCAAACAAAAACGATTATCTAAGCATGCCTATCTAACCATTCAATAACTAAAATTTCTTAAATAAATGACTTTCTACTTACTCTCAAGCTATTTTTGGAAGGAAAGTGAAGCTCTACAAAGGAATTTATCTAGGAAATCTAGGCACTATCCGGTTATTTCATCCCCACTAGTTTTTATGTATCCAGATCTTTTGTGAGAAAGTGTGAATAGTTTAAGTATCAGATTAGTTTAAGTTATAATTTCAGAACAAAGATACTTTAGGTAAGCATACGCATAAAGTAGATAAAACAATATTATAGATTTAATCTAGTTAGTTGTTAAAATATGGGGATGTATAGCCGAATAGTGCCGAAATCTATAAGTTCTTTGAGTACTTTTTGCTCAAAAACTGAATATCTTAAAATTTTAGATACACTAGAAAGGAAATGTTGAAATTTTTGAACAAAAAGTACCTTTTAAAGAACAAAACTATCACAAACTGTTGGAATGGTTGATCGACGAGTGGGACTCCCAATCATTACCTTCAAAAATCAGCACTGCAAACAATCCAAAAAAATTGAGATTAAAAAGAAAATGCAAATTTCATCACAATCTGTCTGAAGCTGAAATTCCAGAGATAAACAAAAATTCTTTGGAAAGGCCAAAAAAAAAGTGTTTTCTTTTTTTGAGAACGGCTTTTTTCATTACAAAGATATAAACATTGAGCTATTTTTCGATATTCAAATGAGCGTTCTTTGCTCGCATTCAAAAGGGGGAAACGGAGATTTTGAAGAAAAAGAACTGTCACAAAATGTGATTTTTCTAATATAGGTATCATAAATAAACTTCCTAAACTTTGGACTTAAGAATTTATACTTATCTAGAGCTCTAACCATAAGCTTTGAGCTTCAAACGCTTTGTCAAGTGTGGCCGAGACCATAAAGCTTCATTTCACTTGTCATTAGCTCAATAAGTTCTACAAATTTGCTGACTAGACTAGAGTTAAAAGAGTAAAACTGTAAGTTTGTAACAGTTCAATGATTCAAGAAAATCTGGTAGCTGTAGATTTTATCTTAGTAATTTGTATGCAAACTTTTAGCCAATCACCCTACCGTAAATACTGTAATAGTACCCTACCGCCCTCGTACAGTCGCGTAGTCGCAAAAGTTTTTTAGTATTTCATTTTTTTTCAAATCGCCCGTACTTTCAAAAAATGCGTCTTTGGTATCAAAAAATAGCTGAAATTCAGGGCTATTTTTTGATACCTAAGCGCGCATTTTAGCTTAAACCAGTGTCGAGAAAAACTCGGTCAAAGCTAGACTACGCAACACTCCGCACCGTCATTATGGGGGTGGGGTACTATTACAGTATTTACGGTAACTTTTCCCAACTGCAATTAGCCAAGAATTTGAAAGATTGGTGGAAAAGATACAGAAATATTGTAAATTTTTTGGACGGTGTTCAAGTTTCAAATTCATTTGGCAAAGGTTTACCAGTAGGAGAAGGAAGGATAGAGGAAAAGGAAAAGGAGAGGATGATACGGTTGAGTGGTGGTTGATTCTCTGAATTAACCTACGAAAAGAGGGAAAGAGTTGACTAGGATGCTGATCTTCACGGAATGGGCTTATGATCGTAAATAGGGAAAAGAGAAAAGGAGGGGGTCCAAAGGGAAAATCCTTTGTCCACACATTTCCCCTCGACCATTTCCCTTTCTCCTTTGGATTCACCCTCTAACATTTTTGATTTGCAGACCCTTTTCTCTTTTACTCGAGTTGAAAGTAATCGAATCAGCCTCTTCTTTTCACCCATCTGGCTCTCATCGACTATTGACGCAAAGCTGGGAAATCGTCAATGAAAACGGGATTGACTGAGTCCCGGAAAAGAGTATAGGGAAAT